CTGTAAATGAGGATGGTTTAAACCTCTTAGAATACAACTCCATGGTAAGTTTAAATGCTCAAGTTTTGCATTAAGTCAACTGTTTCCATTGCTCAGTGTACCATAAACAGAAGGTAATGATATCTTAATCTGATTTTTCTCTTACACAGAAAACATTCTTCCTAATACTATGTCATGAACAGTCATTTTACAAATACAGCTATGATTATAATTTAACCTTTTAAAACAAGATAAGACAGTGTATGAGAAAAATCTTGATAGCGTGACTATATTGTGATCATGGTTATATTCGTGAAATGATTATATTTTTAAAAGTGTTAAGAAGATTGTTTCCTGTGTAAAATAAAAATCTGTAAGAAATCATTAAAGTGGGAACTTTAATAACCAAAGTTTAAGTTCACTTTCACTAAGGCTTCTTTAACAATTTCTATAATTTTCTATAGTGTCATATATATAGCGTCTTAGCACTTTCCACATAAAGTCAAACTATGATTTCTATATATGTTCATTTATTTACCTGAAATTTACATTTTTTAAATCATATTTCATGTGTCTAATTATTTAATACAATTTTATTCTCTTTTTTGTTTAATCTGGTGGGCAGGAATTACTACATTCACCAGGCAGGTCTAATCGTGTGGCTATAATCAGAGATCACTGAAAATTTTCTGGAAACCAAACTATCCTTTTGTGTTATAGTTACTGTTTCCCCTTGCAATTGCTTAAAAAACAAACACACACACATTTTTTTTCAAAGGGTTATATTTTCTGAGTGCCTTTTAGTTCTTGAATGGATAACTTGAAGGTATTATAAAATCAGTGACTTAAAGTAAAAAAAACAAAACAAAACAAAAAAAACCTATACACCGGTATTGAGTTACCTTAGTTCAGGAAACCAGCTCCCTAGCTCTCAGGAGGTAGCCAGACAGGCCGGGAAGCACACACAGGTAGGTTGCAGGTCCGAGGCATTCAGTCCTGGAATGGTCTGCTCAGTCTTGCAAGGTAATCATTAGATATGCAGAATCCTTTCAGGCTGTATATTAGTTACATTTTATTTTATTTTATTGATTTTTTGATTTTTTTTTTTTTGAGGCAGGGTCTCATTCTGTCGCCCAGACTGAAGTGCAGTGGTGTGATCACCGCTCCCTGCAACCTTGACCTCCTGGGCTCAAGCAGTTCTATTGCCTCAGCCTCACAAGTGGCTAGGACCACAGGCATGCACCACCATGCCCGGCTAATATTTTTTATTTTTTCATAGAAACAAGGTCTCCCTATGTTGCCCAGGCTGAGCTCAAGTGATCCTCCCACCTCAGCCTCAGGTGTGAGCCATCAGGCCCAGCCTAAGTTACATTTTTACATTGTTTTGGAAACACATTAGAAAAAAATATTTGCTGCATATGTGACAAAGGGTTAATATATGATACTGTTTCTGTTTATAGATTTCAAAATCCATCTATCAGGGTAGATTTACCAATATTTGACCGTTTTGACCATGAAAAGTATCAGTAATATGGCTTAACCTAACATATATATAAGAGACATATGAAAGGGCATGTAAAAAATATTAACAGTGGCTTTCCACTAGATGCTGGAGTATAGCTGCTTTTTATTTTTTTCTTATATTTTCTCATTTTTCTTCAATGACTTGTTTCGGACTCAACATTGTAAAGGTAGATGATACCTAAATAAAATTAGTACCACTACTATCTATTTTGGATCATAATAGATTTTATTTTAGAAATAATTTTGTATTATACCATAATTGATGAATATCTGCATTTTAATGGAGCTATATTATTATTTTTCATCTCTCTTTGGAAGTAAGAGCATATAACATATTTACTTTTTCTTCTCTTTAAAGAGGTTAATAGTCAGCTATGTGTACAAGAGTCTAATGACCTTTGGAGGCTATCAAGATGATTTTATGGTAGTCATTAACAATACACATTCAAAGGACACACCAACAGAGAAATTACTTTTTGCCATGGCAAAACCCAAGGTGAGTAGGAGCCTTTTTGCCAACTTTTTTGTGCTAGTTGTTTTCACTTAATCTTAGCCAAAAGTCCAAAAAGCAATGCTAGTTGTTTTCATACTAAAACATTTATTCAGCAAAGACTACGTTCCAGATGGGAAAACAGACGTTATTTATAGTCAAACAAACATGGGTCCAACTTACATCATCTTTCCAAGCCCTGGTTTCTTTGTCTAAAAATATGGTAACATACTCCCTCCTTCTTTTGGCTTAGAAATTAAATGAAGGAAGTTTGTAGAGTACTTAGCCCAATGCCAGGTATATAGAAGATTCCAAATAAATGGTTGTGGCATTAAGTTATCGCTGTCTGGTACTTTATGCACATTATCTTATTCATTTGTGGTTGTTTGCTTTATGGACTCATTAGAGGAAAGACCGGGGTTTTATAATTAAAACATACTTGCTCCTTTATGACTTTTAACAAACTATGTAGTTTTAACATCTCTAAGTAAAAGCAATAAATGGATTACATTCTAACATGCAATTCTAATTGAAAGTGATTTTCCTAAAACTTTAACTGTCTTAATGTTATCTGATAAAAGAAATTACTTCTTCAGAATCTGAAGCTTTTTTAAAAAAATAGATGTCTTTCTTAATTAAGCCTATACTTAAGTGAAAGCAGCTAACCAGTAAGTGCAGATCAGGGAACTCAGTCTTTAGTGAAAATAGAGAGTTCCTATGACACTAACTTTCTTAATTCATATATTCACGAACGTGGCTTTATGATAATTTGATAGAGCTGTACTACTGACTGTCACATTTCCTAAGATTGCCACTCAATGTGGTTGTTTTTGAGATTCACTCTTTCTGCCGGTTTAAGTGATGAAAAAATGTGTGGCTGCCTTGATGGTGCTGGACATGTAAGCACTTCATTGTTTGATCTAGAGAGAAGGGAATTCTGGTAGCCTGGGCACTTGCAAATGGAGCTCACCTGTGGCCAACACTGTGCTCTTCTGGAAGTGATGAGAACTTCTCAGGAGCATAACAGTTCTGTTTTCCTTGTTTTAGATTCTTGAAATTACTCTTTTGATCGCCAGTTACATAAACAACTTCCATCAGCAAAAGGCAGCATTTCACCACCTCTCTGCTCCAGCACTGCTCTCAGCCCAGACCCGGGGACCCCAAGCCAGAATGATGGGAAGCCAGCCTCTTCTGTCAAGCAGCAGACCGACCAAAGGCCCCACCTTACTCTGAAAGCCGGGGAGCCTGAACGTTCACTCCTTGTCCTCCATGCTGTGGCTGTATCAGCTCCCTACAAGTTCCTTTACACCTGGCAGCATGGCAGCCACACACCAGTATTCCAAACTTTAACAACGAAGGGGGTTAGTCTCTTTTATTTGATTCTTAAATATTCAAATAAATATTAACAGTAAAACATAAACACAAAATTTGCCAACACACTGATTTTCTCATAGAGTAAATGAGTAAGAATTCATCATTTTTTCCAACTCCCTTCTCCCTTGTCATCAGACACATTGTGCAATGTGGCTTTTCTTTTCTTTTCTTTTCTTCCCCTTTTTAATATTCTGGCAATCTTTAGATAGGGAGATTCCAAACTCTCATCTGGTAAACCAGTTGATTATTTGGAAATGTTCACTGCCAAAATAGTAAGTGCTATAATTAAATGTGCTTTTAATTAATGATATAGTGTTTGGAAAGGAGTAGAACATGCAGAATAAGAAACAGCTGCAGAGTGGTGTGAGGAGTCCATTTTCAGAGCAGGTGCAGTACATCTTCCGGCTCTATGAATCATCATATGAGAAAGCAGGGTAACGTTAGGTAACCTGAGCCTCCTGTGTGGTATTAGAAAGTATACCCTGTCACCTTTGCAGATCACTGGAGTGTAAAATTTAAAACAAGGTGGTGATTCCTGACATTCCTTGACTGTTCGTGCTGCCCAGGTTCACAAGAATATTGCCCACATTTCACTGTATTTGGTGCTGGGTCATCTTGACCTTGCTTTAGTAATAATATCTTTAAAAACAAAGACAATCCTTAAAGCTTTCCCCCTCACACATTACCTTCTAATTATAGTTTGAAAATAGATTCCCTACACATACATACATATGTATATACAGATAGGGTCTTGCTATGTTGCCCAGACTGGCTTTGAACTTCTGGCCTCAAGCAATCCTCTCTCCTCAGCCTCCCAAAGTGCTAGGATTACAAGTGTGAGCCACCACACCTGGCTCCAGAAATATTTCATTTTATTTTTTTGAGGCAGGGTCTCACTCTGGTTGCCCAGGCTGGAGTGCAGTGGGGCCATCATAGCTCACTGCAGCCTCGACCTTCCGGGATCAAGCAATCCCACTTCAGCCTCTTGAATAGCTGGGACTAGAAGCATGCACCACCATGCCCAGCTAATTTTTGTATTTTTAGTAGAGACAGGATCTCCCTATGTTGTCCAGGCTGGGTCTCAAACTCCTGGGTTCAAGCGATCCTCCCACCTCAGCCTCCCAAAGTGCTGTGATTACAGGCATGAGCCACCGTGCCCAGCCTCAAAAATATTTTTTAAAAGAAAAGAGAAAATAATTCTTCTGTCAAAGGAGGTTAAATTTTAGTTGATAGAGTACTTAAGTGCATTACTTTATTAGGTTATGTAAGTGGTCAGTGTATTCCAGTATGTGTCAAAACAATGTACTTCATATTCGTGATAAAAATGAAACTGTGATAAGACATGAAAATTATATTATTAAAATGTTCAATTGTAATGGTAATCATGAGTATACTTAATTTTATTTATGTATAGAATATTTGTATTTATTTTTTGGACATATATTTATCACTTTGTCATTTTTTTAAACCAATTTGAGAAATGTTAGCTGCTGAATTAATTTGTTGGCCGAGACGTCATATTTTCTTCTTTGCTGCTTTCTCCCTGTGGCAATGTACTGTTCTCACATTAAGTCTTTAAAAAATGTTCCATACTGTATTAGCATCCTTAGAAAGGACAGAGCTAAGAAGTACATTGCTCAAAAAAATATTGTACTTTATTGATAATGACCAAAAAGAATATTTTTTAAACCCCATCAAAATAGATTTCCATTGACTGTTTCCCCTACATCTTTTGAGCCACAGTCGCCCATTGAATAAGCACATTTGTTTTTGAGAATAAACTGGTAACCAATTTATGATGACTCTCAGAAACCTTTTGGCTGGGATACAGTAGAGTGTCTAAGTTCCCAGACAGCCATCTCATAATTAGTTGGTGAGCCAGAGGCTCGACAGAGCTGTTACTTATGTGTGAGGGCTTTATTCTCATGCAGTAGTTTATTCATCATTTGGTAAGCCCCTCCCCACAATCTTCTAATTTAAACAGGTAGTGAAGGCTTAGCTTAAACTGAGTAGTACTTTAGACTAGGCATTTATTTTTGATAGAGCAGAGGTAAAATATTTTGATGGAAGGAAATCAATTTTCTGTAACTGATGATGTGAAAATTTTATTTTCTGGGAAATTATATAGCCATTCAAAAATTCAAAGTATGTTATTATGATTGGTTACAAGAGAATAATGTTACACGTTTAATTGTAATATTTGTCTCCTATCATTTTCTTCCCTTTCAATCATAATAAATGATTTACAAAACCCATTTTGAGCATTACCTTTTGAATAATCTTCAAGAAATACCTAATGTTTTCATTGTCAAAGCTGAGGTGTAGTACTAGTGAAAATGGTAGTTATTACCTCCTTCTCTTGCATTCATGCTTTGTCTTCAGTGTTGCTGTGTTTTATCCATATAAAAGAAAGCTGTTTTGGCAAATTGTAATTTTAATCCATATGTGTGCATATTGATACACAATATATAAATAGGTAAATAGATAGAAATATTGGTTCTCCCATGATTTCATATTTCATATAGTTGAGTTGAATGGACTATGTTCCAAAAATTTGTTTTAAATGTTCTGGATTTTGTGTGTGTGTGTGTGTGCCCTTAAAATCAAATACTATCATAGCTTAGAAATGAATTTAACTCTCAATTTACAAGAGAAGTTAGTCACAACTTATAAAGACCCTCTATTTCAAAAATGTGTTTAATAGTTTGCTGTTTGGATTTTTTTTTTTTTTTCATAAAAGAAATACATGTGCTTACATCTACCTGCCAATTTAATAAAAATACACAGTGGTCAAGTTCCTAGAACAATACATTTAACCCTTAATTGTACCTGAAGCATGATCCTGAAGAAGTAACCACCATGGATAACCATGTTTCTCTAGAAAAAGGCTTTACCTGTTGGTGGGATGCCAAGAACATGTTTCCCCCACCCACTCCCCCGCCCCGAGCAGCTGATTTCTAGGGAGGGGAGGCTCCAGTAATTTGAAAATTGAGGAAGAGAAGTGACAAGCAGGAAGAAGTGGACAGAGCAGTTTCCCTGCTGCCCACCTGATTTATGTAGAAATGACATCTCCTCTCACATTTCCCCCCAATCTCTTTTCCCTAAAAGAAGAAAGGGATGGCCGGGCATGGTGGCTCATGCCTGTAATCCCAGCACTTTGGGAGGCCGAGGCGGGTGGATCACAAGGTCAGGATCTGGTCAAAAAAAAAAAAAAGAAAATGATGTTGGCAAAGCACAGGAGTATCTGAGATTACAGGCACCTGCCACCACGCCCAGCTAATTTTTTTTTTTCTTTTTTTTGAGACAGAATCTTTTTCTGACGCCCAGGCTGGAGTGCAGTGGCGCCATCTTGGCTCACTGTAAGCTCCACCTCCCGGGTTCACCCCATTCTCCTGCCTCAGCCTCCCAAGCAGCTGGAACTACAGGCTCCCGCCACCTTGCCCCGCTAATTTTTTGTAGTTTTAGTAGAGATGGGGTTTCACCATGTTGGTCAGGCTGGTCTCCTGACTTCAGATGATATGCCTACCTTGGCCTCCCAAAGTGCTGGGATTACAGGCATGAGCCACTGTGCCCGGCCTGCCAACATCATTTTCTAATAAACAGAGTAGGGGTGGGAGAGGAAGGGCATCTCTTTCTGAACATGCTGCTAGGTTATATTGTGGTTTTATGAAAATCAAATTACTCTTCTTTAACAGTGGCAGTGGCAAGAGAAGGCTAATTCCCTCTCTCACTATGTGGCTCTAATGAATTCCCAGGAGTTCCTAGGAACTGAATATTGGGTAATACCAGAGGAAATGGCTTAGATGTTATTCTTGAGTTTCTAGAAAATGCTATCAAACTCCAATAAGAGTTGCCTTTTATGAGAGAAAAGTTAACAGAAAGTGTAACCTTAGAAAAGCTTGTGGAGAGTTCTTAGGTTTTGGATCATGTACAGATTATAAGATGTTCCCCTCAGGGATAGGGTATCATCAACACTGCTTTCATGTTCTGACTATTCTACCGAAACTTCTTCACATGAGGTTGTCACTGACCACTTAACTGCCAAGTCCAGCAGACCCCAAATGGTCCAACTATCTGCTGGGTGATATCTCAAACTCACCATGTCCTCTAAACCTGCTTCTCCTGCTCTGTGCCCCTCAAAATTGGTTAAGAGGATCACCAGTTCATCAATCAAGAAAGAAACATTGAGTTTTCTCCCTCTTACCAACGTCTTATTCTCTACTGCCTAGTAATTGTATTAGATAGAACTCTTTTTGCTGTAAATTCCAAAATTCAACTTGAACCAGCTTAGACAAAAATGAGAAGTTGTATTACAAGGATATTAGGATGTCTCATATAATCAAAGAGTAAGCTGAACAACCAAGCCATAAGAAAGGTGAGGACACAGGTAAGCCTTAGGGACAACTAGAACCATGAGACATATGCCAGCGCTTTCTCTTCATATTGATGTGTGTCTGCTACTGTGTGCTCACTAACTACAAAATAATTCATTTAGCACAAAATATGCTAATTTCCTCTAGAGGTAGAGTGACTTGCTTTTCCCAATTCTAGTTTGAAAAATTTCAGGGAAAGACTGGGATTAACCCAGCTCATGTTAGGTGTTTACTCTGAACCACCCCAAACGTACTCATCATTAGGAGAATGCTTAAGTAAATTATGAAAAATCTATGTAGTGAAATATTCTGCAACAATCAAAGTTATGTTTATGATGCATTTAAAAAATTTGATATGGTGCATTTTTAAAATTTGATATGGGGAAATACATGTTAAAATCAGGATGTTAATTAACTTTACAATTAATCTCAACTTTGTAAGGAAAAAGATTAGAATGAAACATATCAAATGTATTTCCAAAATACCTAACAATGATTACTTCCGGCTTATGCTTATTTTACCCTCTTAATTTTCTGTGCATACCTTTTTTCCCCTACAATTAGCTTATATAACTTTGAAAACAAGGGAAAAAAAATTCAAACTCTGCCTGTCACTTTCCTAGCTATTGTTAATAGCCTCCACATGGTCTTTAGATGCCAAAATATCCTTCACGCAGCTGCAAAAAATTATCTCATGAAACTCATGTCTAATCATGGCACACTCCTATTTTTCAACCCTATTTGGTTTCTCATAACCAACACAGTAAAGTTTAGACTACAGTATCCTTCACAGTAGCCCCATCTACCTGCCCAGTTTGCTTTTCCACTGTAGCTCCACCACGTACTTTATATGATCTCACCCCAAACTATTCAGTTTCCCAGATACATCCTGCACACGCCTTTACCCTTCTGCACTGTTGCTCATTCCAACCAGAAAGGAGCATAAAATGGTCTCCTTCTCCTTCCATTCTTACCTTAAGAACAATCTTCACCTACCCAGGAAGGTCACTTTCTTTGCCCGAGTATGAAGGCCTCAAGAGGAATGAGGGAAGAAAGGGGAACTCACCTGCTCAGTCAGACCAACTGAATCAACCCTGAATCAGTGCTGCTGATCAGGGCCCAGCCAGATCACCTTCACTTTCCTTGTTAACAAGCTCCCTCCTTCAAACACCTCTCCCAGTTATTCAAACAAGTGTAATTTTGAAGTGCTAGTACTGAGTACTGTGCCCAGTACATAGCAAGCACTTGGCAAAAATATTAGCTGTTGTTATTGCTATCAATATCAACAGGGCTTCCTAACTAGCATGCAAAAGTATTCTGAAGTTCTAGAACCCAAATCATTACAATTCATTACAATCTGTCCCATATCAGTTTGTGAGCTTAAAGGAGGCTGGCTTAGCACCAGGCTATAGCTGCTGATTCAATGACAGATGTATAAGCCTCCTTTGAAAAAATCATCCTTTCTTCGATGAGCTCTGCTCCCATTAATTCCCTTCCTATGTGCAACTTAGTGTTCTTTGTATCTCCAAAATATACCTAGATGTTGGGAAGATTTTGTTCCTAATGACTCTATCTGAAATAAACACCCTTTTATCAACGATCAGCCTGATTTCCAGGAATGTGTTTCTTTGTTCAAAGTTACTGACCAGCAGTTTATCACACAATAATAACAAGCATTAAGCAGTTACAATGTGTCAGACACACACGTAAGTTATGTTTTACCTATATTTATCTCATTTAAGATTCACAATCTTTCCCCTTTACAGGATCAGAAATTCAGTGATTTACCTGATGTGGCAATGTGGCAACTTAGCCAGCGTGGCTGAGTCAGAACTTGAACCTAGGTCCATCTCACTCCAAAGCCCATGTGCTTGAACACCACACCATAGAAATCAAGCTGAATAGCAGAGCATTGGAGGGAGGGTATCTCCTTCAAATATTCAGGGTGTCTTAGGCTAGAAAGCGTAGGTCTACTCAGCATTCAACACAGACCAAATACTATCAGTGCCATGAATATTTCACCATCTCCTTCAGGCATAATTAGTCACTTGCCCTAATGCAATTTTTGTACCGCTATACAATAGCTTAGATCACTCACTTCCTTGGGTGCTTATAATTAGCAGAGTATGTCTTTCTTAAAGGTAGCGATCTTTTCTTACTCATCTCTTTATTCCTTATTCTGTGTAGCATAGGGCCTTGCATATTCAGTGATTGTTATTTATTTCAATGTTCGTTATTTATTTGGACACTCCTGGAGATCTATAAAGAGACCACAAAGTTCCAAAAGAAAATAATCTACATTCATAAAGTAAACGAAGTATGTAGGAGATGCACTTGCTTCATTAATTTTTAATAAATACACAATGTGCTATTGAATAAAACTTGAAACAACTAAGCATCTAGAAAGTTGGAAAATATTAAAATTACAGGCTTTATTTTAAATTTTAAAGTGCGAATGTTCCTTGCTTCTAGTAAATTACTAGAAAACAGCTCAAGAGATTGTTACTCCTCTATTCCTAAATCATGGCGATTGGGAAGAAAAAGGTGAAAGATGAGAGAGAGCAAAAACCCCTGGCATATAGTTGATACTCAGTAAAAAAATTTTAAAATAAAAGAACATTTCCAGCCCAGAAACAATTGCTTTTAGATCCCAGGTTTGTGACCCCTTATCATCTCGTTCTGGGAGGTAACAAGGGGTTACTAACTTGGGATCTAAAAGCAGTCCTAAGGCTTGAGGCTGAGAATGAGATGGAACAGGACTCCTGAGAACTACATTTCCCATGATGCCCCTCTCCCCACGCAACCGCGGCCGCGACGTAGCTCCCATGGCAACCCAGAAGGCCTCACTCACAGACTCCTTGCATAGCTCGCCGCCTGATTCTAGGCTGGTCTCTCCTCCGAGCCCGTGACGTTTGCGGCAGCCCGGCCACGATGCCCAGGTATTCCCTGAACTCGGCTTGCGAGGGAAAGGCTGCTGAGAGTATTCCTGGCGAGAGGAAGCCCAGGCGGGACCAGCTGTTGGAAGACTGAGGGGGTGGCCTGCTTGCCACCCGGGTCTGCGTGGTCGGGGACCTAGGAACCAGCCTTGAGCATAAAGATTCTGCCGCAAACAGGAAAGAAAGTTCCCTAGGTAGAAAAGTAAGAGATTTGGAAACATCAGCAACTCCACCCATTCAATGATTGAATAAAAGTTTCTTGCAGGCCGGAGACTACTTCCGGAGCAGGACATTCGGCGATGAGCTAGACCGCAAGGGCCTCCCCTCCGTTGCGGGGATTCGCAGTAATAAGCAAGGGGAAACTTGGAAGGCATTGTGGAAAGTATAACATCACATTGAAGGGGGGAAACGGGAGAGGGTTTGTAAATTATATTCTAGCTCTTCAATTCTATGCTATTCATTTTAATTACCCGTTCTCAAGATATTCCTAAACCACCTCTCAGCAATTTATAAGCACGTCGGGGAGAGGGGTCAGGGAGTGCATCACAGAGCAGGATAAATCTTTTTCTCTCCTTGGGATAGTGTGGAAAATTGTCAGCTTTCCATCACGGGATAATTGGTTACAGTTATAAAGCTATGGTTATACTTAGGATTTCCGCAGGTGACATGGCTGACTGCAGCACCTCCGTCTCTCCTGTCTGCTGGGTATTTGGAAAGCAGATCCTCACGTTTTGAAAGAATGTTGTGTAAATGAAGAGCAAACAGGCCCAAACTGAATTCTGAAGGCTCACCTGTGAAATAAATGCATGAATTTTAGTGCAAACATTTAAGGTCTCCTGTTTTGACCCTTTTTCTTTATTCCTGGTTCTTGAATAGTAATAATTACAAGCCCTCAATAATTTTTGTAATTGTATAGGCCATGCCCTAAACAAATACATATTTTAACAATTATGACAATCTTATAAAAGTGGTATTCTTATTTATTGGCATTTTAGCGATAGAGAAACAATTGAGCTTGGGGAATAGTACAGAGGATTGCATATATTAGGTTCTCAATAAATATTTCTTTAATTAATAAAGGAATGAAGGACTTAAAGAGGTTAGGTAATTTTCCCAAGTTCACATACATAGGAAGTAGCAGAATCAGGCTAGGACCCATCAGGTCTTGCCCATGGTTAGTTTTTAGTTTTAATATTCCATTTTCACTTAGGCTTTAATATATATATGATTTTATTGTGTAAAGTTATATATCTGTGTAAAGAAATGAATGAAAGGATCATTTTCAAAATGTTTGTGGTTTTAGGGTTTTTTTTTCCTTTAGAGTTTTTTTTTTTTTTTTTTTTTTTTTTTTGAGACACGGTCTTGCTGTGTCACCCAGGCTAGAGTGCAGTGATGTGATCATGCTCGCTGCAGCCTCGACCTCCGGGTCTCAGGCAGTCCTCCTGCCTCAGCGTCCCTATTAGCTGGGACCACGAGTGCATGTCGCCCACCCAGCTAATTTCTTTTTTTTTTTTTTTTTTTTTTTTTTGAGACAGAGTCTTGCTCTGTTGCCCAGACTGGAGTGCAGTGGCACGATCTTGGCTCACTACAACATCCACCTCCCGGGTTCAAGTGATTCTCATGCCTCAGCCTCCTGAGTAGCTGGAATTACAGGCACCCGCCACCATACTTGGCTAATTTTTTTTTTTTTTTTTTTAGTAGAGATGGGGTTTTACCATGTTGGCCAGGCTGGTCTTGAACTCCTGACCTCAAGTGATCCACCCACCTTGGCCTCCTAAAGTGCTGGGATTACAGTTGTGAACCACCGCTCCCAGCCGCAGTCAATTTTTTTTGTTTGTTTTCTTTTCTTTTCTTTTTTTATACTTTAAGTTCTAGGGTGCATGTGCACAACATGCAGGTTTGTTACACATATATACGTGTGCCATGTTGGTTTGCTGCACCCATTAATTCATCATTTACATTAGGTATTTCTCCTAATGCTCTCTGTCCCCCATGCTTATTATTATTATTATTATTATTTGTAGAGATGAGGTCTCCCTATATTGCCTGGGCTGATCTCAAGTGATCCTCCTGCCTCAGCCTCCCATATACTTTTATATTAAAAAAAAAAAAAGATTTTTTACCCCAAAACATAATTTAAAAAACAAAAAAGAAATGTTTCAGGGAGAAAAGATTATTTGATACACTGGTTTTGTACTTTTCCCATCTTCCTAGGTGACTTAAATGTTTGTGGTTTTCAAGTTGTATGTTCCCAAAAATCATTGTACTTCCATGTGTGTCTGAGAAGCTAACATACACAGCTATGAACCTTAGGGGAAGCCCCAAATAAGACAGCCTCAAATCCTGGCGATAAAGGCTCTGCTTATCAGTTTCAGCATTTTTCAAAGAACTAGTTCAAAGCAACAAAAGAAAAACAAAATCATAGCATGACTAATCCTCAGATGTTTTACCAGATTATTGTTCCTCAGAAAATAATGTTCATTTATTTCATAAATTATACTGAAATAAAATTTCTCTGAGCTTGAAATAAATATTTGAAAGAATTCTTTTTCCCTCAGTTTTGTTTTTTCTGCCTCTCATGTAGTGAAACTCTCTGGGAAATTGCAAAAGCTGAAGTGGAAAAAAGAGGAATCAATGGAAGTGAAGGTGATGGAGCTGAAATTGGAGAAAAATCTGTTTTCTTCATTGGCAGTAAAAATGGGGTAATGCTTTCTTTTTTTCAATTATTGTGATGATTTAACAACCATTGGTAAAACATCTTTTAATACTTTGATTAAAATGTAGATACTTCAACCAGATGACCAATCTGGTTTAGCATGAATTAGAAAGTGCTTGTTATTAATCTAGGAAAAACTATAATAGTTAACAAAATTTTAGAAAAATATATTTAAACTATTTTTTATTTCATGATTTGAAAATATTCAGATCTTCTACCATAATTGAGTATAAAAGCTTGGATTCATTTAAATATCTAAGTCAGTCTCTAAATCAGTAAGTCAGTATCTTAATAATTTTATATTTTAGATTGTTACTTTTAGAAATCTCATTAAAGGAATAATTGAACTATGTCAGTGATATTTGTTACAGGGTTATTAATTATTTTGAAAAATGTGGGGAAAATATGGCAGCATTTCCATTGGGCCTCTGATTGGTAGGAAGAGACCCTCCCCACTTGCTATAAGTCTCTGTTTTCCTTCGCCAAGCGTACAGAAGGGCTTGGAAGTGGCCACACAGAGCAGGAACGTATGCATCATATCTTCATGCAACTTTGCCTGACCCACAAAGTTCCTGCCAGGAAGGCAAAATGGCTGGTGACACAAAAAGGTCAAGACTTGCCAGATGCAAGATGCTGAAATTCATGTAGCGCCCTAGCTCATTTCTGTGTGGGTTTCAAATTCCTGTTCATTTTCTGTGCTACATGCTTCCACTTAAGCTCATTGACAAATACGAAACTTTCGGAAACTAAACTCTGTATCAGCAAGGTTACATGTTCACTGGGTAACATCAGTTCCCAGGCAGCCTGAGCACCCATCTTGTCTCCAGATGAGTCCCAGAAGGCCCTCCCTGCACAACTGGACACCCTCTATTGGGGGGTTTTATATACGACGTTAAGATCACATTTATTGGGAGAAATACTTACACAACCATGAAAAAGGTTTTAGTGATATAAGAATATAATCTGAATTGAAAAAGCAGGACATAAATGTCATACATGATATGATCCCAATTATACAAATATGTAAATAAAAAATTCTAATAAAAGTTAGAAATATGGATAGTAAAATTTTAATCACTTAATGTTTTTATTTTGTTTTTAGTTTCTTTATTTTCCAGAGTTTTCATATTGGCCCACTTTTTAAAATTCCAACTTAATTCTTTAAAATAAAATTATCATAGAGCATTTCTATTTTAAAATTTTAATCCAACTATATAAGTATATAGTACATAACACATATTATTTCTTTTTTTTGAGACAGGGTCGTGCTCTGGTTGCCCAGGCTGGAGTGCAGTGGCGCGATCTCGGTGCACTGCAGCTTTGACTTCCCTGGCTCAGGTGATTTTCCCTCAAACAACTGGGATTACAGGCATGCGCCACCATGCCCGGCTAATTTTTCATATTTTTAATAGAGATGGGGTTTCACTACATTGCCCAGGCTGATCTCGAACTCCTGGACTCAAGCAATCCGCCCATCTCAGCCTCCCAGAGTGCTGGGATTACAGGTGTGAGCCACCGTGCCCAGCTACGTGTTATTCCATGAGTTTACTATTATGATGTGTGTGATTTTCATATTAGGCGTAGTATTAACAGTTTCCTACATTTTATCTTACTCTGCCATGTAGATACATACATGGATTTAAATAAATGAGTAAATAACTAGTACTAGTCTTATGGTACAAATAAATTTCTATTACAGAAAACATTCTGTACACAGAATATTAGATAGAATGGCTTCTACTAATGGTACTGGTTACTGACTCCAGCATACAAATGTTCACATACAAAATACCACTACTAGTATCCTCTTAGCGCTCTCTGTAACAGTTATCCTTAACTCCTTTGTAGTCATGATACCCTGTTTTTGTCTTGTTTTGTTTGTTTTTTTGTTACTTGTGAAACCACCCCTTTTTCTTGATGGCAATATGCGGCATATACAAGCTGTTTTTCATTTTTAGTAACAAAAGTAATTTTGTGTCTGATGATTTGGGAACTCCCTTAAGATACCTAAAACTTTTGAGGATATTGTTCTTTAAAAAGTTTGTGATTCTGCTGAGTGTGGTAGCTAATGGTTGTAATCCCAGAACTTTTGGGAGGCTGAGGCAGATGGATTGCTTGAGCCCAGGAGTTCGAGACCAACCTGGGCAACATGACAAAACCCAGTGTCTACAAAAATAAAAATAAAAAAATTAGCCAGGTGTGGTGGCGCTCACCTGTATGTAGTCCCAGCTACTCTGAAGGCTGAGGCAAGAGGATCACTTGAGCCCAGGAGGTCAAGGCTGCAGTGAGCCACTGTGATTGTGCCACTGCACTCTAGCCTGAGCAACAGAGGGAGACCTTGTTTCAAAAAAGAAAGAAAAAAGTATCTGATTCTGCTTCATGGAGAACGTTATTTTGGAAGATAAAGAGAAGCAATTAATGCTTCTGTTGTTCAATTAATAGTAATCACCCTTTACCAAAGAAGCCAGCTGTCCTGCTGCCTTATCTTTACTCCTTCCAACCAGCTGTTCATCCATTCGGTTGACATTGAACGAACATCTTTTATATCTAAGCATCCTGCTAGACACTGTGGAAACAGGAATGAAAGGCATTCTCTACTGGGAAGGAACTTGTGTATCAGGACTTGTACACCAACAATGACAATACCATGAGACAAATGCTACGGTGGAAAACAGAGAAGGCACTTTACTCACCCCAGAAAGTTGGGAGACTAGGAAATTCTCCTGAAGAGAGTGGTGGCTAAAGCTTGAAGGGTGAGAAGTAAGGAAAGAGAAGTAATTCAGGTGAAGAGTGTGGAGTATTCTAAGATGGTCAAGAAAAATGTATGAAACAGATATTCCAACAAATGGGAGAGAGATCATACTAGAGGAATGTAACAGCATTGCCAGTCATTGTTGACTGCCATTTTCATGATGGGTGTTAGTTTGATACTAGTCTGCCCAGCGTACATGGATTTTCTCCACCATCACTCACTTGCATGGGTGCAGGCATGGAGGAGGAAGGTGATTACCTGGGGCTGTCTTTGCTGGCTGGGTACAATGCAAAGTGAGGGAGCTCAGGGGATGGCTGATATTTACCAGAGATGGTTGTGATGGTAAACTATGGGCTCTGAGATGGAAAAGGAGAAAAGCGAAGGTAGGAAGAGGCTGATGGAGTAGGAGCGACTGTTGTTTGGGGGAAGAGGGGTATCAATGGACATTTGAAAGCTTTCACTAAGGCCAAGGAATTATTACTGTGGGGATTCCTGAAGTAGTGGTTAGAGAATGTGGTGTTTGTATATGTGATTTTGGAAGCAGTGCAGTTTCCAGTGAAACTGGAAAGCTTCAAGATGTAACCTTGGAAGTGACTGTGGCAGAAATAGAGTGAGGGAAAAGGCCTCCATTGGGAGGCAAATGCACTGAGAGGTCCGGATGTCAGGTGGATTGCCAAGACCCATGTGGGTGTGAAGAAGATTCATGACAGTAGCTGAGAAGGCAAGGGAGATTGTGAGCCAGAAGAGATGACAGCAACCCTGGTGGTAAACTGATAGGAGCCTCTGAGGTTTTTGCAAGAGGAAGGAGGTAGAGTAGTTGTTTGTAGGTGGCACTGGGGAACAAGGAGGACCCTAAAGTATGTAAGGTAGTGAGAATAAATAGCCTCGTTTAACAAGGCTGCAGAGGAAGGGGTCCAAGGTAAGTCATATTTTAGTTAAGGCCAACAGGTGGAGAGAATATTCTGAAAAGGCTGAGATATCAGGGAGTTTGCCAGTCATGGAGTTGAAATCATAGAGTGGAAGGATTTTAGAGGAAGGGAGGACAGAAGGGGATTATTGGGCAAGATTAAGGGATGTGTAGAGAGTTAGGAAATTCAGAGTTCCAGGGATAATGGGTCAGTGGAGAGGGCTGGACATCTGGGGTGATTGAGGCAATGGGAGGGAAGATGGGATTCATTTTGATGGTCTCTAAGCGAACTTGTACTAGGTCAATGTTTCTTGAATTAGGAAACCTACAAGACTATGGCGACATTCTCAGGGGACTACAGTGTACTAATGAATTTTTAAATCTTGGGTTGTAATTTTGATGATAATCTTAAACTTGATTTCAGTTCCCAGATTAGTTTATGTTAATTTGGAATTGTTACCATATAGTACTATACATTTATATGAAATTATAATAAAGGTGATTTAAGGCCAGGCATGGTGGCTGAAGCCTATAATCCCAGCACCTTGGGAGGCCAAGGTGTTCAAGACCAGCCTGGTCAACATAGTGAAACCCCGTCTCTGCTAAAAATACAAAAAATTAGCTGCACATGGTGGTGCATACTGGTAATCCCAACTACTCCGGAGGCTAAGGCATGAGTATCACTTGAACCCAGAGGGGGAGGTTGCAGTAAGCCAATATGGCGCCACTGCACTCCAGCCTAAGCAACAGAGGGAGACTCTGTCTCAAAAAAAAAAAAAAAAAAAAAAAAGAGGGAGGAGTGATTTAAATCAGTACTAGTGTACCATGAAAATTTGAGGAAATTGGCTAGATATTATTTAAAATTCCTTCCAATTCTTATTCTACTTTCTTGTAGAGTACATTACTTTTTAGGTAATGTAGCCCTTATTTAAAACTTTTACAGCATACTACATATGATACAAGTATAGAAAAATTAGAAAATCTTGATTTTCTTCTTTTTTTTTTGATTTTGAGATAGAGTCTTGCTCTGTTGCCCAGACTCAAGTGCAGTGGTGTGATCTCAGCTCACTGCAAGCTCCGCCTCCCGGGTTCACGCCATTCTCCTGCCTCAGCCTCCAGAGTAGCTGGGACTACAGGTGCCCACCATCACACCCGGCTAACTTTTTTGTATTTTAAGTAGAGATAGGTTTCACCATGTTAGCCAGGATCTCCTGACCTCGTGATCCACCCATCTTGGCCTTCCAAAGTGTTGGGATTACAGGCGTGAGCCACCATGCCTGGCAGAAAATCCTGATTTTCTTAAAAACATTAATTACCTGCAAATCCATCAGCTAGAAATAATCATTATTAACATAGTGATGTCCCTCTACATTTATTTGTGTGTTTCTTTCTCTCTCTCTGTGTGTGTGTGTGTGTGTGTGTGTGTGTACTTCAAGGAAGCAGGAAAAGTATTTTTTAATTGAAAACAGAGTCATGCTGATCTATTATGAATGTCTTACTATGTCAGTAAGTATATTTCTACATTGTCATTCCTAATAGCTGTATATTCTATTATATGGATTACCATAATTAATTTAGCCAGTCCCCTAATTGGGGACATGTAGGTTGTTTTTAGTTTTTCAGTTTGATGTAACACTAGCCAATAAACATCCTTCAATAATAGCATTTTTATATTGTACAATTCCAGTTATTTTTTAATATATCTCATTACAAAAAATTTATTCAATTTGATCATATTCCAGATGTAATGTGGAATAATTATCTTTTTTGTCAAAAACTATGGGTTTTTTAGTAAAAACAAAAACACATATAATAAGTGTTCTGTGTTTTTGGCAATCCAGAGTTTTCCAAATTATTTTCTTGGGTGGAGCTCTCCCTGCTGTTTCTCTTTTATCTGTTTCCTTGCAAGGGGTATTTTGTTTACAAAAAAAAAAAAAAAAAAAGGGGTTTTACTGTTTTTAAAAAATGATATAAACCACTGAGCTAGTCCCTGGCTAAGCTGTGAAGTTAAGTGGCATGACTAGTGGTAGGAATTAGGCCAGAACCTGTATTTCCTTACTCCTAAAAAGAAACTTGGGACCGGGCGTGGTCGCTCACGCCTGTAATCCCAGCACTTTGGGAGGCTGAGGTGGGCAGATCAGATGAGGCCAGGAGTTCAAGACCAGCCTGGCCACCATGGCAAAACCCTGTCTCTACTAAAAATACAAAAATTACCCAGGCATGGTGGCGTGCACCTGTAATCCCAGCTACTCGAGAGTGTGAGGCACGAGAATCACTGGAGCCCAGGAGGCAGAGGTTACAGTGAGCCAAGATCATGCCACTGCACTCCAGCCTCGGCAACAGAGTGAGACTCTGTCTCAAAAATAAAATAAAATAAAATAAAATAAAAATAAACAGAACTTGTAATAAGTGCATCCTCTGGACTTAAAACAAATTACTCTAATGCAGTATCTGAATTGCTTACTTTGAACATATTTACAATGTATCCTTTATTTGTATGTTACCTTTTTCTTTATTTCCACTTCAACAATTGGAATTAAAACATTTTGAAAGACACTAAACATCAGCTTAACCAGTAATTAACATTGATGAGTAGAGAAAAAATTTAAGACAGTTGCCAAGTTGACCACTTAAGTGAGGTATGATTTGCTAGTGTTTGTCATCTGTGGGACTTTATAATTATAATAATAGCAGTGTAGTTACTCTGTGATGGAAAGTTGACAGTTAACTTTTTCCACTTATCAAACTTCAGAACAATTCTGAAAGTTTCTAGTTTTTAGTTTCCAGGTAATTTATCATTCAATTGATTAAAAATCTATTTTGGGTCACAATTATGAACAATAATACAATTTTTACATATGAATGACATTAACACAGTATTCCTTCTTTTTTAATTTCCAGGGAAAGACTACTATTATTCTAAGGTGTCTTGACAGGTAAGTGTCATGTTAACCTCTAAACTACAGTTATGCTTATTCTAGTTGTACAGGGCAAGTTAGATCTAAAAGACATAAGGAAGGGGAACGATTTTAAGACCCAAACAAAATATTTAATTCTTAGCAAATCCTTAGTATAACCTTTAAGAGTGCCTTTAAAGATAAAACTAACAATAAGCCAAAAATTATTTGAGACTAATACTGGATTTCCCTATTTGAGGGAGAAATGCTACTGTAATGACCCAGCCTATAATAGTATTTACCCTCTTTTTGGCTATGCTACTCTGGTATTTAAATTATTTTTATTCTACCTAATCTACAGTTATTTGAACATTCATTGTAAGCTTTAGCTGCTCAGGGGTACATTTTTGAAGCACAGTGTTGGTCCTCAAACTGGATATTTTATCATTTCTTTTATATATTTGCTAACGTATGCTGTAGAAGCAGGCCGTCAGATTAAGATTTAGGATTATGGGCTGGGCGCGGTGGCTCAAGCCTGTAATCCCAGCACTTTGGGAGGCCGAGACGGGCGGATCACGAGGTCAGGAGATCGAGACCATCCTGGTTAATACGGTGAAACCCCGTCTCTACTAAAAAGTACAAAAAACTAGCCGGGCGAGGTGGCGGGCGCCTGTAGTCCCAGCTACTTGGGAGGCTGAGGCAGGAGAATGGCGTGAACCCGGGAGGCAGAGCTTGCAGTGAGCTGAGATCTGGCCACTGCACTCCAGCCTGGGTGACAGAGCTCCGTCTCAAAAAAAAAAAGATTTAGGATTATGATTGTTAGATGTTGCAGGAAGCTGATGAGGAAAGCCTTCAATCATTTTTGGAAGATATTTCTCTGTTCCCTTCATTTGAATACATATATCTTATAACTTCTCCAAAAATCATCAAAAGAGATGGAATTTGGTGTTAAGGTCACATTAAAGAAACATCACTCATTTGAAAAATATTATTAAAGGATACAAATAATAAATTCCCGCTTTGGTGTAATTCCTTTCACCAACAATATTGTTTCTCAGAGGAACTATCAACAGTAACACCTGTTTTATCTTTCTATCTCCAGGAATCATGGGTCTTTTTAGACCACATTTAGATGTTTCCTGTCATAAACAGATCATCTAATACAACACCAGCTTAGGATAAAATACTACAAAATAGTACATTGAGTTGAAAAGTATTAATTTCTTTCTTTCTTTTTTTTTTTTTTTGAGACGGAGTTTCGCTCTTGTTGCCCAGGCTGGAGTGCAATGGTGCCATCTCGGCTCACCGCGACGTCTGCCTCCTGGGTTCAAGCGATTTTCCTGCCTCAGCCTCTCGAGTAGCTGGGATTACAGGCATGTGCCACCACACCCAGCTAATTTTGTATTTTTAGTAGAGACAGGGTTTATCCATGTTGGTCAGGCTGGTCTTGAACTCACAACCTCAGGTGATCCACCTGCCTCGGCCTCCCAAAGTACTGGGATTACAGGCGTGAGCCACCACGCCCAGCCCTGAAAAGTATTAATTTCAATTCCTCAATAGTCTGCTTAGGAAAAGGTTAATTTTCTAAACTATAGGTTAAATATCAGATCTTATAAATTTTGTCTTAAAAGTAGCATTTTGCTTGATAAAATTTCTTTTTTTTTTTTTTTTTTTTTTTGAGACGGAGTCTCGCTGTGTCTCCCAGGCTGGAGTGCAGTGGCGTGATCTCGGCTCACTGCAAGCTCCGCCTCCTGGGTTCACGCCATTCTCCCGCCTCAGCCTCCCAAGTAGCTGAGACTACAGGCGCCCGCCACCACGCCCGGCTAGTTTTTTGTATTTTTAGTAGAGACGGGGTTTCACCATGTTAGCCAGGATAGTCTCGATCTCCTGACCTCGTGATCCACCCGCCTCGGCCTCCCAAAGTGCTGGGATTACAGGCTTGAGCCACCGCGCCCGGCCTGCTTGATAAAATTTCTATCTTTCAGAAAATATAACCAAACATTACTCTCTATATAATATATTCAAAAGATATATGCAGGGGTGATATTCAAAATATTTAATAAACATAATTATGTAAGTTACAAATTTAAAAATCATTTCTCTTTCTTCTCCAATCTGAGGATAGATATGGGGTCGGGCGCAGTGGCTCATGCCTGTAATCCTAGCACTTTGGGAATGCAAGGCAAGCGGATCTCTTGAACTCAGTAGTTCAAGACCAGCCTGGCCAACATAGTGAGAACTCGTCTGTACCGAAAGATACAAAAATTAGCTGGGCGTGGTGGTGCACACCTGTACTCTCAGCTACTCAGGAAGCTGAGGTGGGAGGATTACTTGAGCCTGAGAGGTTGAGGCTGCAGTGAGCTGTGATCACGCCACTGCATTCTAGCCTGCATGACAGAGTGAGACCCTGTCTCAATAAAATAAAATAAGAAAGTAAAATAAAGATATGTACCAATATAATTTGGCCTTAAAAAGGAAGGAAATTCTGTCACATGCTACAACTTGGATGAAGCTTGAGGGCATTATGCTAAGTGAAATAAGCCAGAAACAGAAAAAACAAATATTGGGCTGGGTGTGGTGGCTCACACCTGTAATCCCAGCATTCTGAGAGGCCAAGGCGGGCAGATCACTTGAGGTCAGGAGTTCGAGATCAGCCTGACCAACATAGTGAAACCTCATCTCTACTAAAAATAAAAAAATTAGGCAAGCATGGTGGTGGGCCCCTGTAATCCCAGCTTCTTGGGAGACTGAGGCACAGGAATCACTTGAACCTGGGAGGGGGAGGTTGCAGTGAGCCAAGATCGTGCCACTGCAAAAAAAAAAAAAAAAAACAAAAATACATATGTGTGTGTGTGTATATATATATAGTATGATTCCACTTATATATCTAGAATAATCAAACTCATAGAAACAAAAAGAATGGTGGTTACCAAGAACTGGGGGAAGGGAAAACGAGAAGTTGTTTAATGGGTATGGAGTTTCAGTTTTGTGAGATGGAAAAGTTCTCAATATTACTGAATTGTACACTTAAAAATAGGTAAGATAAATTTTATTTTATGTGTTCTTTACCATAATAAAAAGTTAAATATATATATACACCATAAAACTGCTTACCAGCAATATAAGCTATAGTATAAATAATTCAACAAATTGTTTTAATATTTTCCTAATCATTACTGATTTTAAGGACTTGTTGATATAATTTATTAACTATCACTATCTAAATGATGCCTATATTTGAGCTGTGATTTAAGATAAAGAACTGCTAGAGAACTGCATTAAAGTCTTGCATTGTTTTTGTTTTCTTGAGACAGGGTCTCTCTCTGTCACCCAGGCTGGAGTGCAGTGGCATGATCTTGGCTTATTGCAGCCTCAACCTCCCAGGCTCAAGTGATTCTCTCACTTCAGCCTCCTGAGTAGTTGGGACTACAGGCATTTACTACCGTTTTTTGTAGAGACAGAGTTTTGCCATGTTGCCCAGGCTAGTCTTGAACTTGTGGACTAAAGCAATTTACCTGCCTCAGCCTCCCAAAGTGCTAGGGTTACAGGCATGAGCCACCATGCCTGGCCAAGTCTTGCATTGATGTTGTAATGTGACAGTCATTAGATTCCTAGCTCCTCACATCATGGCTGAATATAAACCCAGTGTCACTTTGGGAGGCCAAGCGGATGGATCATGAGGTCAGGAGATCGAGGGCATCCTAGCTAACATAGTGAAACCCCGTCTCTACTAAAAATACAAAAAAGCAGGAGAATGACGTGCACCTGGGAGGCAGAGCTTGCAGTGAGCCGAGATCACGCCACTGCACTCCAGCCTGGGCGACAAAGCGAGACTCCGTCTCAAAACAAACAAACAAACAAAAAAAAAACCCAGTGTCAGTGCTTCCTGCATGGCCTGGATGTGGAGATCTTGTGCCCAGCATGGCCATCCACACTGCTAGCCTCAACTCATTCTCTACGTGCCCCAGCAGTGCCTTTAGGGGCTACCACATTATGCACGCGCCGTTAAAATCCACTAAGATGGTGTTTTGCAGGTTTATTTCTTTTGTATATATAATTTATCTCAATGCTATTATACAAGGTAACTTCTCTACTAATAAAGTTTTTAAGAGGAAGGAAAAATGAATCAGGTAAGATGGTAGCATAAGAAACTAATACCACCTACAATGATGATACTATCTGCCTTTATTTTACAGAGATGAGCCACCAAAACCAACCTTAGCTTTGGAATATACATATGGAAGAAGAGCAAAAGGGCACAACACAGTAAGTGTCTTTTAAAATGACATTGCTATGCGCATAGATGGGAAAGTAATACTGCTAACTTTGTTTTACATTTTCCATCTTATCTGTAATCAATAAACATATCCAGTTGTACACTTCATAGCTGTCTGCCATTAAACTTGAAATGCAGTGTGGCAGATAGAAGCCAACCCAAACTGTGAAAAGATTTTAGCCTTCTCATGTATTATGTCTTAAAATGCTATAATAAGATACCTTTTTAACTTTATTGTGCAGTTCATGAGAATAGTGTTGTGAGTTACTTTCAGTCTCTCAAAAATCTGCTAAAATATAGGTTTGACCTGTGGAATATTTATGAAAATATACTGTTTAAAATCTAAATTACTAGCATTTAAAAATGCATCTTGAAGTTGATAGTACCAGTTGAGATCGTATGCCCTACTTGATTATAATCCTATTTTCACTTGTTTTAATGTCTCTTTAGAGGAACATTATAAACTCCTCAGGATAGAAGGAGGGTTTATAGTATATGTTGGCGGGGGGAGGAGTGGGGAATTCCTAAATAGAATCTTTTTGGAGTTGTCACCTGAAAAGAGGTCATTTCTTAAATAAAGTTAAGTGTGTAGAAGGACAATCTAGAATGGAGCATCCCGCTACTCCCCTAACAAAGGCACATTTTTATACACTGACTTAGTCCAAATGTTTGCTCATTAGTAGACAGTATATAAAGAGATAAAACTTCCTATCGTTGCTTCCAGGATTCACCAACGAAAGTGGGTTATTAAAACTGAAATTTAAAGAAAAAAACATAATATATAGAGGTACAGGAGAACTTCATTTTTGTGACTCACTTGAATTTTGACACGAGTAATAAGCCTAGAAATGTAATTATGCTTTTCATTGGAAACTTGGAGACAGCTCTCATAAGCTTAACCATTGAGAAGAGCTCTAAAAACTTCCCTTTATCAAATTGTGAATTGAGGGAGATTTTCCAGTGAATAATTATTTTCCCCACAAAAATTAATGATTCAGATATGAACAGCCAAACAATTGTAGAGATTGCAAAATGAAATTTTGTCAAAAATCCAAAATAATATATATTCATCTAAAACTTATTTTATTGACATCCTGTCTCTTCCAGGTTCATGGGAGTAGATACATAAAAACTTGTGTGATTTTTTTTTTCCTAAACTTTGTACTGTCAAGTGGGATATTTCCATATTCATTCTGGAAGCATCATATCTTTCTCAGATTTAATTCCCTAAGAGTCCTAAATAGAAGTATTTTGTCAGCTCCTCACACAATTTCAGTGACCTGAAGGGTCTTCAGTGTCAGGATAGAAGCAGAAATGCCATTAGCCAACAATCTAGGAACGTCTTATGGAATAGATGGTCCTATTTCTTTTCTTTTCTTTTTCTTTCTGAGACAAGGTCTCACTCTGTCACCCAGGCTGGAGTACAGTGGCAGGATCATAGCTCATGGCAGCCTCAAACTCCTGGGCTCAAAGAATCCTCCCGCATTAACCTCCCAAGTAAACTGCCCCCACAAATTCACTACAAGCATGCACCACCACACTCAGCTAATTTAAAAAGATTGTTTATAGTGATGGAGTCTCACTGTGTTGGCCAGACTGACCTTGAACTCCTGGCTTCAAGTGATCCTCCAGCCTTGGTCTCCCAAAGTGTTGGGGTTTACAGGTGTGAACCACTGCACCCAACCCTAGATGATCTTATTTCTGAACTTCTTGGCTGCCTAGCCCTGTCAGTTTCCTATTATTTTGAGGGTCCTATAAAAAAGAGAAGCTATTGTTTGATCTCTTGTTCCCCCACCTACCATGTATTATTGTCAGTGGTAGCCTGTCAGATTCTCCACAGGAATCAGGAACAAATCGTCTGCTTATACTTTTGCTCAAGTAATCTTGATCCGCAGCCAGGACTGCCATTTGTTCGTCCCTTTTCTTTATGCCTTACGTGTGTCTAATTCATTCCGCGAGCTTCTGTCTTCCTAAACAGGAATGTTTTCCTATTCACCTGTTTTATTTCTGTCTAGAATTATAAATGTTTTCCAAAAAATAATACCAAATTTGCTCAACGGGTTAATTTTTATCTAAAATCTGCATAAGTGTATGCCACATATGTTATTTACAAGATTGACACACTGTTTATTGTATTACTAGAATTAAGGCATTTGTGTACACATATAGACAATTCTGAATATTTCATCATTTTTCTTTAAAAATAGGTGCTTTGGTGCATTTTGAGGGATGGAATAAAGGAAAAATTTTGACTGCCAAGAAAGGGTTGATTAAAGACTACAATATTTTATATGTATAATTATTACTGGCAAGTGCTAATGACATGTAAGAAGTACTTAAAATTCAAAAAATCAAAAATGTTTGTTTTTCAGCCAAAAGATATCGCCCACTTTTGGGAACTGGGTGGAGGAACCTCTTTATTGGACTTAATCAGCGTCCCCATCACAAGTGACACCTTACGGTAAGTGAGCCAGCTCCAGGAAAAGCTGTAAGCGCACAGGAGTGTCCCTAGGAGAAATATGAGTTGGCTTTTCTCAGTCAGAATTTTGGGGCACAGTTTTATGTTGCTGACGGCTTATGCCCACTTCCTTTCTAAATGCCTAAATTGTAATGCTTTCAAAGAAGTTTTAAAAGAACCAAGATTTTGGCCTGTGCTGAACTGAGATAGCTGACATTCCTCCTAGTAACATATTTTCCAAGCTGAAAACAAACAGACAAAAAAAAAAATACATCAAATTACACTTGGGCAATGAATTCATTTTGTAAAAATAAATTTGAAAAGCTTAATTCTTTCCATTATCCATCTCAGTATGAGTTAATTCGGCTCTGAGTTTTTTTCTTCAGCTGAGTATTATAAGCTACCTTTGAATTTAATGCTAATTTACATCCTTGAAGCTTCATTTAAAGGAAGACTATATGTCGGAGAAGAGAGAAAGTCTCTCCGTTTGCTGACCTTAGAGAAATAGAACTTAGGGGAAACCTCAAAACGCTTGAGTGATGTTTTCCTGACAGTGACTCCCACATGTTGGCCAAATGTGTGGAAAATTGTGACATTTCTTACAATGTTCCTGGGAACTGGTCTTAGCTAAGAAAAACATATTTTTTTAATCTGAAGTATTTTGTTCTTAGAGTTTAACATAAACCATTGCTGCTGCCTGGATCAAATACAAAGGGCTTGACAATTAGTTGTTACATGTTGGTCATTAAGCTCCTTGGAGGATGGAATTATTTCTTGTTAATGGGACTGTTGTTTTTCTAGAACTGGCTGGATACAGTTGGCTTTATTTTGTCTTTTTTTTTTTTCCTTTTAATGAAGTATGATTTACTTTCTTTCACTTATTACAAAAGTAATATATGCTCATATAGAAAACTTGTAAAAATACTGAAAGACACAAAGAAAGTAAAAGGAACCAGAATCACATTAAAAAATAACCACTTTAACATGTTGAGGTATTTCTTAGCCTTTTCAATATCTGTAAATAGACTTTGTACAGGTTTGGGATATTTTATATACATATTTAGATCTTGCTTTTCCACTTTTAAACACTTTTCCCTATGATATTATTTTTCAGAAACATGGAATTTTACAGTTAGATAGTTTTTCATTTGTCTCTCTTTAATGGAGACAAATAAGTGAAGCTGCCTGGGAATAGTGCCTAGTGGTGTGGTTGAGAAGAGATGGTGAGGGGCCAGGTGCGGCAACTCAGGCCTGTAATCTCAGCACTTTGAGAGGCCAAAGCTAGAGGATCACTTGAGGTCTGGAGTTCAAGACCAGCCTGGGCAACATAGTGAGACCCCATCTCTACAAAAAAGTTAAAAAATAAAATTAGCTAGGCATCATAGCATGCCTCTGTAGTCCCAGCTACACAGGCGGCTAAGGCAGGAGGATTGCATGAGTCAGGGAGTTTGAGGCTGCAGTAAGCTATGATCATACCACTGTACTCCAGCCTGAGTGACAGAGTGAGACATTGTCTCTTTAAAAAAGAGAGAGAGAGAGAGAGAGAGAGAGAGATAGTAAGGGGAGGAGGAGCTTCCAGTTAAGAGTGGCCAGAGGCTGAAAGGGTGAAAATACAGTAGCTGGCTCTTACCTGGGTCGGAAGTTGGCTCCTATTCAGCTGATTTGTTATATTACCTCTCTCCCCTTCTCAAAGCCCAAAAGGTTTTGGCCTGCTGGGATTGTGGAAATTCTAGGTTCTGCAGGAAGCCAGATCATCCTGAGGGTTAATACCTCATTTGTGAGGTCTTGGTCTCCCTTTCCCTGGAGCCCCAGGACAGCTGGGACCTGCTTTAGGAAAGAGGAAGGGTCAGGGTTATGATCAACAGAGGGAAAGGGAGCCATAGGCTTGGGTCTAAAGTAGGTTGCTGAGTGGTTAAATAATTCATGGAAAACATTTCATTCTTCATGTGGTTGCTAATCTCAAAGTGTTTTTGACTGGAATTCGTTTGACACATAATTTCCTTGTGTTGGATGAAGTCCCACAACTTGAGAAAACAATATTGCCAAATACTGTTAGATACTGTTTATCTCTGAAATAACCGCTTATAGAATTATAAATGCATTGAACATTTCCACAGACTTCAGACAATTGGTAATAGAACATTTCCTGTAGTCTGAATCTCTGTTTTAAGAGTTTATTAAAAAGAAATTTGGGGCTATCATTTGCTATGAAATAGGTAAAAAGTAACAAAAGTATTTCCAAATATACTGTAAACAAAAATTTTAATCTTAGAAAAATTTGAGTAGTTTAGTTTTCTTTCACTTAAAATAATTTTTCACTTGAAAAAAATAATAAATTTTACGTTATATCCATTTCATCACAATGAAAAAATGTTAAATCATAGTTGAAACATAACCATACCAAAACCCTAAAAATAAAATTAGTACAATTAAAAATGTATATATTATTTTTACAGTTAAGCAAAACTGTTTATGAGCTTATTAAAATGACATAAATATAATTGCCTAGACCATGTAATAACGCAATAATTTTTAGAAAATTTGATAATTAATGTATAAAAGACCACTTTCTGAATTTAGACCAACAGAATTGTTACTGTTTTGCTTGAATTATACAAAATAGCCTGTTTACTTGAACTAAACAAAATAATTAAATAACATTATAATTTTGTGCTATGTCTTCTAGCAGAATGTTTGCTGTGTTGATCAAGGATATATTGGTTATATTGGAGATAATCCTAAACCATCAAGGATTATGGTTCTACATACTTACTGTAACCATTTTTTAAAATACTCCTAGATTTATATATGTTTAGTTTTTATTGTGGTAAAATATACATAGCATAAAATTTTAGTCATTTTTAACTGTGCAGTTCAGTAACATTAAGTATATTCTCATCACCATCCATCTCCAGAACTTTTTAATCTTCTCGAACTGAAACTCTTTACCTATTAAACAATAACTCCTTATTTTTCCCTCCCCAGCTCCTGGCACCCCTCATCCCTACTGCCTGTCTCTATGAATTTGACCACTCCAGTACCTCATATAAATGAAATCATTCATTATTTCTCCTTTTGTTATTTATTTGTATCATATAGCATAATGTCTTCAGGGTTCGTCCATGTTGTAGTATGTGTTAGGATTTCCCTCACTTCTAAGGCTAAATAATGTTCCATTGTGTAAACAAATAACCACAGGTTAGTTATCCATTAATCCATGCAGGAACATTTGGGTTGTTTCCATCTTTTGACTATTGTGAGTAATGCTGGTATGAACACTGTGTACACTATCTGTTTAAATCTCTTCCTTCAATTCTTTTGTGTATAGACTCAGAAGTGGAATTGCTGGATCATCTGGTAATTCTATGTTGAATTTTTTGAGGAATCACTATATTATTTTCCACAGCGGCTGCACCATTTTACATTCCCATAAGCAATGTACAGGGGTTCTAATTTCTCTGTATCCTCGCTAATACTTGTTATTTTCTCATTTAAAAAAATGTTTTAGGCCAGGAGCGGTGGTTCACACCTGTAATCCCAACACTTTGGGAGGCTCAGGTGAGTGGATCACCTGAGGTCAGGAGTTCGAGACCAGCCTGGGCAACATGGTGAAACCCCGTCTCTACTAAAAATATGAAAATTAACCGGACGTGGTAGTGCACGCCTGTAACCCCAGCTACTCGAGAGGCAGAGGCAGGAGAATCACTTGAACCCAGGAGGCAGAGGTTGCAGTGAGCTGAAATTATACCAGTGTACTCCAGCCTGGACGGTAGAGACTCCTCCACCAAAAAAAAAAAAAAAAAAAAAAAATGTTTTGATAGTAGCTAGCCTAATGGATAGGAAGTTGGACATCTTTTCATGTGTTAATTGGCCATCTGTATACCTTCTCTGGAGAAATGTCTGTTTGAGTCTTTTGTCTTTTTTTTTTTTTTTTTTTAATGTAGTTGAGATGGGGTCTCGCTATGTTGCCCAGGCTGGTCTTGAACTCCTGGCCTCAAGCAATCCTCCTGCCTTAGCTTTCCAAAGCTCTAGAATTACAGACATGAGCCACCATCCCTGGCCTCTTTGCCCATTTTTGAATGGGAATGTTTGTTTTCGTTGCTGAGTTTAGGTTTATGTTTGATGTGCATGAACAGAATACAAGTGCATATGGTGATGGTGGTGGTGTATCTGGTGGTCAGGAGTGTGCTTTCAGAGAGACAGAAAGTTATTGCAGAAAAACATGTAACTTTGGATCTAAATACCAGTTCTACAATTTACTAATTATGTAAATCTGCACCTTAGACTTCTTCTAATCTATGAAATGGACATTATAACATCTTCTGGAGAGGGTTATTGTGGAGATTAACTAGGTAGTTCCCTAGCAAGGTCCACCCATAAATCTATTTTCTTCTCCTTTACCTGATTATTGTGTTATTGTTTTTGCTTCTTTTATTATTTTTGCTTCCCTTTTTTGGAGCACACAGTAAAACTGGATGTAAACATGGCATTGTCGGCTCAAATGCTTGCAGCTTCTCTATTTGAACTAAACTACTTTTAGTTCGAACAGAAACTTAGTTCCACTATTGTAGCACTTAAATATCACTAGAGGAAAGTATTGGAATAAATAAGGCTATGACTTTGGTTTTTTGTTTTTTGTTTTGTTTTGTGTTTGGGGGTCTTAGAATAATGCTATGGGGTTTTTTCCCCCCTTTAAGGTATATTTTCGTTATTCTTTGATAAATTTCAGTACATTAGGGTTTCAAAATGGTAACTATTTTGAGTCTTTTTTGAAAAATGTTTTTATTTCTTTAGGACGTTTTCTCTTGTTCTCGTTCTGGATCTTTCAAAACCTAATGATCTTTGGCCCACCATGGAAAATCTCTTGCAAGCCACAAAAAGCCATGTAGACAAAATGATAATGAAACTGGGAAAGACAAATCCTAAAGCAGCTTCTGAAATGAGACAGAAGATCTGGAATAATATGCAGAAGGATCATCCTGTGAGTTGCTGTTTGGGATTATTACTGGACTCCTTAGTCCCGTATATAGTTAATGATAACATCACAAACAACTTCTTTAGATTTTTATGCATGACTTGAAATTCATTTGATGTAGATGAACCTGCTTACTGGAAAATTACAGCAATTTATTAAAACCTCAGTAAGAGCAAAACAAGAAAGAAGATTCCTTATATCTTCTTGTTAGACATCTTCTGTGATTGTTATGGCATATTACACCAATCAGAGAAATAGAGTTTTAAAGTAGTGGTTTGATATTGATTTTATAATCTCTGTAAAAATGAAGATAAAAAGCCAGATTATACAAAAGTCACCTGAGAAAGACTAGATGAAGCTACAACTTTAAGCAAGAGGTAGAGTTTTAATAGCCTTCACCATCACTCTGTATTTTACATTCATTTGTTTCTGTCACTTATTCAGGATCTTTTTATCATCTGACAGCTAATTATATTATAAAGTTGCTATGATAGTAACACAGGTTCCTCAAATACAATCATAAATATCAGCATCTGGAAAACTAAGAGCAGCATTTTATATTATCCAGAGTTTATAAGAAAGTGTAGCCAGGTGCTGTGGCTCATGCTTACAATCCCAGCACTTTGGGAGGCTGAGGCGGGCAGATCACGACGTCAAGAGATCAAGGCCATCCTGGCCAACATGGTGAAACCCCATCTCTACTAAAAATACTAAAATTAGCCGGGTGTGGTGGTGTGTGCCTATAGTCCCAGCTACTCAAGAGGCTGAGGCATGAGAATCGCTTGAACCTGGGAAGCGGAAGTTGCAGTGAGCCAAGATCGCACCACTGCACTCCAGCCTGACGACAGAGTGAGACTCCTCCTCAAAAAAAAAAAAAAAGGAAGAAAGTGTTTTACATAGGAAATAATGAAACAAAACAAATCTATGATGGATAAATGCTATTCCAACAAACAGGTAACATAAAATAGAAAAAAAAAAAACCAGGAAGGTAATATATAAGGAAATAAAAGGGTAGAAAAAGGAAAATAATAAATATCATAGTAATTTAGGGAATTGCCATTTCTAGTTTTACACTTATGAAATATAGCTTAGGAAGTGAAAGTTAAATATTGGAACAAATTCTATGTCAAGCAAATTAAGTAAACATCTATGAAGAGACTGAAAATGGAATGGTTTTGGAAGTAAATAGAAATTGCTAAGCACCTAGCATTAAAGAATTATAATAAATCAATGAAATATGTTTATTAAACAGGATCGTGAATTAATTGACCCATTTCCAGTACCTCTGGTCATAATTGGAAGTAAATATGATATTTTTCAGGTAAGCTCTTCCACTTCTAGCTGAGTTTGTTGTACATACATGGCTGTGCTTTTTATGAGGGAGGTACAAAAATAATGTCAACATAAGAAAAATAATTATTGAAGGAATAGATTAGTAAGTCATACATCTTAAAGATTTTGGAAAAGAAGACATAGTTGGGACAGAAAAACATAGGTAAAGAAAATAAATGCAGTGATTAGAATGGGGATAAGGCAGATTTAGAAAACGAATCCTGCCGGGCACAGTGGTTTATGCCAGTAGTACTAGCACTTTGGGAGGCTGAAGGGGGAGGATCACTTGAGCCCAGGAATTTGAGGTTACAGTGAGCTGTAGTCACACCACTGTACGTCCAGCCTGGGTTACACAGTGAGACACTGTCTCTTAAAAAAAAAACAAAAAAGTCTAGGCCGGGCGCGGTGGCTCAAGCTTGTAATCCCAGCACTTTGGGAGGCCGAGGCGGGTGGATCACGAGGTCAGGAGATCGAGACCATCCTGGCTAACACGGTTCAACCCCGTCTCTACTAAAAATACAAAAAACTAGCTGGGCGTGGTGGCAGGCGCCTGTAGTCCCAGCTACTCGGAGGCTGAGGCAGGAGAATGGCGTGAACCCGGGAGGCGGAGCTTGCAGTGAGCCGAGATCGCGCCACTGCACTCCAGCCTGGGCGACACAGCGAGACTCCGTCTCAAAAAAAAAAAAAAAAAAAGTCTTCAACCCAGTCACTGGGGAATAGGACTTACTTCTCAACTTTTAAATTGAAGAAAGTAGAAAATTAGTTCCTTCTTATCTTTGCTTGTCAGAGAATTGTTAGGGTATTCCACACTATGAAATGTGCGCTTATATCTAAATTCTGTTGAGCTAAGTATTTAAACAAAGAAAGATCTGATAGCTGAAGCTCTAAGAAGGCTGCAGCTGTTGTTCAGCTCTCTATGAAACAAATATCAAGGTAATGGAATACTATTCCTGAAGGTGAGTTTAAAAAAATAAGAAATAATCTGTTTCTACATTTAATAATTTGAATCTTCCTGCTATAGATATTTGGTTATCTTGACTTTTTTTAATAACATATTTCTACAGGATTTTGAGTCTGAGAAGAGAAAAGTAATATGCAAGACACTTCGATTTGTTGCACATTATTATGGAGCATCATTAATGGTTTGTACATTTCTTGTCCTTTGGGCTTGGACAGTACCAAATTTGAGGAAATTAGCAACTTGATGCACAACTACGAGGAATAAATGCTTTTGCTAATGCACATGGTCCCATTGCTCTCCCACTGCTGAAGACCTCTCGTTACAGAGCGTTTGATAGTGCATCTGTTGAACATGTGCTACTAGTTGGTCTCCCCCTTCTTTGGAACAAAAGTTCTAAATTGTTTATATCCATAAATCCCAACCAAGTTTAAAGAGACAAGTTGATTATCTATTTATTCATTTTTGGTATCCCCTTAAGAATTAGAATCTGTATTCCCTTAAAAGAAAAACAAAAAATAACTCTAACAGTGTGTGTACGGGGGATGAGGGCTCTTTTAAAAAGTACTGTTTGTTGTAAAAGTTAAAAACATGAAATCTGAAGTCATGTGCCCTGGGTTCGAATCTCAGGGTGACCATTTATTAGACGTGTGATCTTAGGCAAGTTACTTAATTTCACTTAAGCCTCATTGTCCTCCAGGGTAAAATGGAGAAAAATAGTATCTTCTTCATAGGGTTGTTGTGAGGATTCAAAGAGGGAGTACGTGTGAAATGCTTAGCACAGGGCCTAGAACAGAATATTACTCAATAAATGTTGGTTTTTATAATCACTGTTATTATCTCCCATAGCAGGACTAAACTTCACTAAATGTCCTTTAATGCTATAAAATATAACAACTTTTTTTTTTTTTTTTTTTTTTTTTGAGATAGTCTCACTCCGTCACCCAGGCTGGAGTGCAATAGTGTGGTCTTGGCTCACTGCAACCTCTGCCTCCCGGGTTCAAGGGATTCTCCTGCCTCAGCCTCCTGAGTAGCTGGGACTACGGGCGTGTGCCACCATGCCCGGCTAATTTTTGTATATTTAGTAGAGACGGGGTTTCACTGTGTTGGCCAGGCTGGTCAACTTGTGACCTCGTGATCTGCCCTCCTCAGCCTCCCAAAGTGCTGAGATTACAAGCGTGAGCCACCGTGCCTGGCCAAAACATTTTTATTTAAACAATTTCCAGCTGGGTGCAGTGGCTCACGCCTGTAATCCCAACACTTTGGGAGGCTGAGGCGAGAGGATCATTTGAGCTCAGGAGTTTGAGACCAGCCTGGGCAACATGGCAAGAACCTGTCTCTACAAAAAATTTTAAAAATTAGCTGGCCATGGTGGCACACACCGGTTGTCTCAGCTACTTGGGAGGCTGAGGTGGGAGGATCATGTGAGCTCGGGAGGTCAAAGCTGCAGTGAACCATTATCACACCACTGCACTCCAGACTGGGCTTGTCTCAAAAAAAAAAATTTCCTTTACATTTGAATAATTATTTAATGGTCTCTTTTTTCCTCCAAATTAAAGCACTCAGAGGAACCTAGAGACAACATGGTCTAGCCCCTTGCCTTCATGGCTAGAATATTTTGACTGAAAGTAATATTTACAAAGTATGTATTCTCAGCTTTTATACCTTTCAAAACATTATACATACATTTCATTACGTATTTTCTTAAAAACGATCACCTTTTATGTTTGAATTGTATTTGCTTACGTATTAGGTTGACACAGTACTTTGGGAAATGTTCTTCTTCACTATTTTGAGAGGATATGGGGAATTTAAAGTGAATGACTCATCCAGGGTACAGAGGTAAAGATCTTGCAGTTACTTATTTTTGCCACTAGAGAGGGTCACACATTTACTTCTGGCTATCAAGTTAGCTGAGGGAAATCCCTGTATTTCTTTAGGAACAGATTACATTTGATGGAGGGCCCAGTCTGGTCTCACGGGTACAAATTTAGATGAAGTCAGGTCATTGCAGGCCACAGCAAGCCTGGGATTCACTGTGGCCCAGGAGATGGAACAAGATCAGGGACCAGGGAATGACTTTGAGAAGGGCTTCATCTCAGCTTTCAGTAAGCCCAAAGGAACAGGGTTTGGGTTAGTGGAGTACTTCTGGACCACCAAAGGAACCATAAGGCCTTTCGGGAAGAATGTAGCCAAAGTGGTCAAAGCCCCATCTTTCAGTTTCATGTCTCCTCTTACCCTCTGCCCCATTTAAGGAAGAAAGTTGGGTACTGCTTTGCAAAATTCCATGATATTTAGCAGGGTTTTTTTTCCCAACACTATAGTTGATCCTATACAGTGCAGTTGAGAATATTGATTCAACATTATGAACAATCTAATTAAGTTAATAAAAACAAAACACAGGCCAGGCGTGGTAGCTCTTGCCTCTAATCTCAACACTTGGAGGGTGAAGTGGAAAGACCACTTGAGGCCAGGAGTTCAAGACCAGCCTGGGCAACAAAATGAGACCTTGTCTTGACAAAAAAAAAAAAATTTAATTAGCCAGTCATTAGCATCATAGTGCATGCCTGTGGTCCTAGCTACTCAGGAGGCTGAGGCAGGAGGATTGCCTGAGCCTGGCAGTTCAAGGCTGCAGTGAGTTGTCATCACACTGCTGCACTCTAGCCCGGGCAACAGAGCAAGACCCCATCTCTTAAAAAACCAATATGCTCCTCACCCCCCAGAGAGAACAGGAGAAGACTGGTAAATAGAACCAGATTCAGAGGAGAGCCATCAGGATGGCAGGGACTTAAAATTATTATATATGAGGACCAGTAGAATATCACCTAAAATGTGATAACTCTCTTATATAGTTGAAGGAATGTTCCATAGAAAAGTGACTAACTTCATTCTTTGCTATTCTAAAGTCCATAAAAAGGAATCAATAGAGTTTACTCAAAATATGAAAGCACTTTCTAATACTACCATTTTCTGAAAACAGAATGAATTATTTGGGGAGATGAGTTCCCAGGTATTGAGTTTGTTTAAGCAGAAGGCTTACAGGTCTTTGTGAAGGGTGTTTCAGAAGTGGTTGATGCAGCAGATGGAGGAGTTGGGTTAGAAAACTTCTAATGTTCTCCCAGCCCTATGTTCTGTGAAATATGTTTGTGATTAGGTTTTTCCTTTCTCATAAAGAAAATAAAATTAAGCAGAGCAGTTATATTTCTAAAATTCAGTTAAAGTTTTCTATATGTATTTTTAAACATGGTCTCAGTAGAAGCATTACAATTATTTCAATGCTTTCTTTTAAATAAATGTATCAGATCTTATATATACACATGAGTATTCTCATTTGAATACTTTCTCTGAGAGCATTAAGAACTTTCTGTTCTTAATCCAGAATGAGGCTTATCTTGTGGAATTGCCATTGGAACCATAACGCTGATGTCTTTGCTTCATAATTAGATTTCATTTCAGTTCAAAATTGTTCTTCTCACTTCCATACCTCTTAGTCATTTTGACTTGGCTGTGAATGACTTTTGGTATCTACAGAAATCCAATCTAGTTTTTAAAGATTTGTAGAGTAACCATATGTCCTGGTATTTATCTGATGTCACAGCTTAATGATTAATAGTACCCAACCCTTTTCATTCTCTGAAATGTTCTGGTTATGGTTTCCCTAGTTATATGCCAGCATTGAAAATATTCAGTAGCTTAGGCACCAAAAACAATTTAAAAAGTTTAAAAATTACTTTAGTGAGTATCAGCATCATTAGACCAGTCTGCAGTCCCACAGTGACTGTTTGGAAGGCAGCAATACACCCTTGGATGTGAAAGCTACTTTTGAGGTATACCTCTCATTTTCTAACCAACCCAACTGCATTTTGGAAAATTTTCTTTTAGACCATAATGAGTATGTTTACACACATACAGCCCATAAACATACATTCATATATACATTTTAAAGAAATTATTTGACAGTGATTATGATCCATTTGTGTGAGTAGCTGAAATGATTAGTACATAAACACAAGTCCTTTCCACATCATGTACTCATTAAGTTTGAAGAACAAGTTAAAGTTACCAAGATTTCTTTATTCAGGTTTTGTTTTGTCTACTCAAACAAAAGTATTTGTTGGGCAACTAAATAGTGATTCTCTTTGCAATCTGTATTTGTTCAAAGCCATATTTATTTTACCTGTTTCTGTGATTGGAAAATAGAGCATATAATTTGTTCTCCTGATTTGTTTAAAGTTTACCAGTAAATCAGAAGCTCTATTACTAAAAATACGTGGAGTTATCAACCAGTTGGCATTTGGCATTGACAAAAGGTACTGCTAAGATATTTTTTATATCATTTATTGAGTGATTGATTTAGCCAATGTTGTCTCATCTGATTATTGTTCTACTCAGTCTGTTGTGTCTTGACCAGGAAAGTGACCTCGATGGCTAGTCTTAAAGGGATAATTTCTTTTTTTTTTTTTTTTTTTTTTTTTGAGACGGAGTCTCGCTGTGTCACCCAGGCTGCAGTGCAGTGGCGCGATCTCGGCTTACTGCAAGCTCCGCCTCCTGGGTTTACGCCATTCTCCTGCCTCAGCCTCCCAAGTAGCTGGGACTACAGGCGCACCCCCCAAGTGCTGGGATTACAGGCTTGAGCCACCGCGCCCGGCCAGGGATAATTTCTTTTTAAAATTATTTTTATTATTATTTATTTTGTCATGACTCAACATAAAGGGGATAATTTCATATTATTTCCTGCTTCTTATATTCTTTAAATATTTCTCAAATTTTGCAACCAAAATGTTATATAACATTTAGTTTGAGGCTGAAATAAAATAATGATAATATTATACTTGCTCCCTGATTTATTTTACTTCCTTTCCCACACTTTGGTAGCTTCCCTCTATTATTACTTTCTTTTATTGATTTGAAATGGAATTGAAAATTTTGGTATGTATCTTCTTAGCCTTGCTACTTCTCTTAGTTTCAATTTAAGGTAATAGGGTCTGTCACTTTTTTCCTATAAAATGTTTATTTATGCTATATTTTAATTTTTGAAATCACTTAAATTGATAGTCATTCATTTGGGGCAATGCTCTCGGTAGTGGCTAAATGTAAAACTAGTCCATAATATTGCTCTCATGTTTATGGGAGAGCGTGGCAGCAAATTTAATGGCTAAACTAATTTAGAATCTTTTTTTCTCTACGTAGCAAATCAATATGTGTGGATCAGAATAAACCACTGTTTATCACAGCAGGATTGGATTCTTTCAGTCAAATAGGTTAGTGAACTTATTAAGGTTGTTCAGTCTTTTTTTAATTGCTTATTGATTTTATCCTACTCCATGTTCACTTTGTCTCCAACATACTCCTATTTCTGGTTTCATTATCATTGCTGTTATTTCCTATGTGTTTGTTTATATGCCCAGTATTAATGTAACATGCATCACATTGACATGTTTGTGATGGAAGGGATGTCACCACATAAGAGACTGATTTCTCATTTCTGGTCTCTATTCCACTGAAAAACAAATTGCATGTATTTTCTTTCCCCCACTGATTTCCAGGTACTTTTAAATTTTAGCTCCTTGGATTTAAGGAAGCTAGGAGCATAGAGTAGTGAGGAAATTCAAAGCTACATATTACGGGCAATTAGCAAGTATATGAGAGATTGAAAAGTAAGTCAAAAAGAGCACATTTGTAACAATTAGGTATGATTTGATTTTTTGTTATGAAATAGCATGCCTCATCTAATGGAATGTATTTCGTAAACTCATAGACTCTACAGGCTTCTGAATCAAAAGGAAGTTTAAGAGTTTATATCTCAAGCCCCTTACCTTCCCACAGAAACTGTTTTCATTGTGAAGCTCTTTGAACCTCGCACTTCTTTATCCTCTGCAGGTGGCATAGTTTGCTTTTAACACTCTAATGAGCAGTAGGGGTTTTGTTTTGTTTTGTTTTGTTTTGTTTTGTTTGTATTCCCCATCCTCTATTAGTCTTACAAGCTAAAGGTGACTTGACTTCAAATATAGAAATCTTTGTAATGAGATTATAGATTAATTGGAATGAAAGGAATGGAGGTGATTTTGCTTAATGAATGGTCATGGAGTCTGATGTTTATGATTATCATTAATGCCAACTTAATTCCAGTAGCAGTGAGAATCACTATTGTACTGATAGATAATGCTGATGGAATTCTTTTGCCTCTGAATAGTTGGAGGCCAGAAGAGAGTTCATAATTACTGAATTTTGAAATCATGGAGCTTAGATCTCATCAGAATTAAAAACTTTTGCTCTGTGAAAGCCCATGTGAAGAAGATGAATAGACATGCCACAGTCTGGGAGAAAAGAATTTCAAACCACATACATGACAGAGGACTAGTGTTTAGAATACATGAACTCAACGGAAAAATAAACAATCCATTTAGAAAGTGGGCAAAAGACATAAGCAGACATTTCATTTCAGAGAGGACATAAAAATAGCAAAGCAGCACATAAAAAAGTGTTTAATATCGTTAGTCGTTAGGGAAATGCAAATTGAAACCACAATGAAATATCAGTATACACTTAACAGAATACCTTAAATAAAAAACAGTGACACCACCAAATACTGGCAAAGAGTCAGAGAAACCAGATCTCTCATACATTGCTGGTGGGAGTGTAAAATGGTACAGCCACTCTAGAAAACAGTCTAACAGTTTCTTATGAAACTAAACCTGCAACTACCATATGACCTAAAACTTGTGCTGTTGGGCGTTTATCCAGGATAAATGAAAACTTAAATTTCACACAAAAAATCTCTAGGCATATGTTCACAGCAGCTTTATGTGTAGTAGTCAAAACCTAGAAACAGCCCAGAAGTTGTTCAGCAGGTGAATGACTAAACAAACCGTGGTACATCTGTACCAGAGAAAACTGCTCAGCCACACAAAGGAACAAATGACTGATACACATAGCCTGGGTGAATCTCCAGGGAATCATGCTGAGTGAAAAGCAGCCAATTATAAAAGATTACATACAGTGTGATTCTATTTATAAAAAATTTTGAAATGAAAAACATTTTAGAAATGGAGACAGATTAGTGGTGGTCAGAGGGTAGGGATAGGACTATGGATGGGGAGACGAGGGGAGGGCTCAGGAAGGAGGAGGTTATGTCTATAAAAGGGCAACACAGGATCCTTGTGCTAGTGGAATTAAGTTGGCATCTTGACTGTGGTAGCAAATACATGAACCTATGCAGGTGATAAAATTGTATAGAACTTAATATACGCACAGACACACAAAGGAATACAGGTAAAACTTGGCAAAGCTGAATAACATCAGTGGAGCGTATCAATGCTTTTCCCACCAAAGTGGCAAGGATGTCCTGGAAGATCACCAGCAAAACAGTTTTGGTGAAGAATAGATGTTGGAAATAGAAAGAATGGGAAATATCCAGTTACAAATTGTAAATGGCAGCAAAGTTTTAAATTTTTCAAATTAAATTATACAAGTAATACATAAAGATATCTCCTTGTAAAAAGGTAAAAGAGTATATACAAGGAGCAAATCTGTGTTCTTTCCAATTTCCTGTGCCTTTACACACGTGTATATAGTGTAGAAAAAACTATTTGCTTTAAACATAATTATATGTTCAGTCTATATCATTTTGGAATTTCCCTTTTTTATTAAATATACCTTATTATTCAATACCTTTTTATTCAATATACCAATATACCTTAGTAGTTTTTCCATGTTAATGCTACATATGGATCTATTTCTTATTTTAACTGTTGGATAGTGTTACAGAGCATGGGTGTGCATAGTAATTAATGCACTATTCACCACTGATGAATATTTTGGTTGTAGGTCAATTTATTCAGTGATAACAAATGATGCTGCAGTGTGAAATCCTTAATACAGTACCAGTTTGCAGGTGTTTCTAGGGCAAACACTACCAAGAACTGGAATTACTGGTTAATAGGATGTAGATACAGGTATAGATACAGGGTGTGGAGAATGAGAGTTACAGTTTACCAATTACTCTTTGGCTCCTCTTCTTTCAGCATTAGAATCTGTCCCAGTGACCTTGCTGTGCTGGGTAGGGCAAATTTTAATGGTGACTATATTAAGGAGAGGGAAAATGAGTGATCTGAGATGTATACCTTTGTTAGAGTCATTTCTTTTATTGGCAGAATTTGTAATATTTTAATCAATGCAGTCATTTGAAGTAAAACTTGCTATTTTAGGATCTCCTCCTGTTCCTGAAAATGACATTGGAAAGCTTCATGCCCACTCACCAATGGAGTTGTGGAAAAAAGTGTATGAAAAGCTCTTTCCACCAAAGGTACATATTTCTAATTTTTTAAAAGCAAGATTTTTAGCACCATCTAACAGTTATAGGAAATGTGCCAAAGGGCCTATTATGATAACTTTGTTTTTATCTCTTCTGCTCAAAAATCAATTAAACATTGCTGAAAATGTAAATAGGCACTGTGGTGATTAAAAAAAAAGTCAGACATGGTTCCTGCTCCACTTTCAAAGATAGTTATCTGGTTGTTAGAGAAGGGAGAGACAACTGAAAGGGGACCTGGTGGAATTGGAAGCAGGCCTCAGTGGTGATGAAAAAAGCTTGAAAGATCATAGAGAGCCTTTGTGGTAGGCTGAGGAATGGGAGCTTGGTTTATTAGGCAGATGGTAGCCATTGAATTTTGGGTTATGGGCATGAAGTGATTTGGAGATTTGTAATTTCAGAGTATTAACACACTGAAAAATATCAAGGACCCTGCAAGAGATCCTCAGTATGCTGAAAGTGAAGTTGATGAGATGAGAATTCAGAAGGATCAGGTATTATCTTAAACATTTACTTAATTTCATCTGAAGGTTTTTCTTGTTGTTGTGGTTGTTGTTTTGAGATGGAGTCTCACTCTGTTGCCCAGCATGGAGTGCAGTGGCGCAATCTTGGCTCACTGCAAGCTCCACCTGCCGGCTTCATGCCATTCTCCTGCCTCAGTCTCCCGAGTAGCTGGGACTACAGGCGCCCACCAGCATGCCTGGCTAATTTTTTTTTTTTTTTTTTTTTGTATTTTTAGTAGAGACGGGGTTTCACCATGTTAGCCAGGATGGTCTCAATCTCTTGACCTCGTGATCTGCCTGCCTTGGCCTCCCAAAGTGCTGGGGTTACAAGCGTGAGCCACTGCACCCGGCCTTATCTGAAGTTTTATCACAAAACCTGGAGTGCCTTGGGAATTCCTTACATTTTTCTCAATGTATTTACTTAGTGTATCTTTTTTACTGTTAAAATTATTTAAGTAGTACATCTATTTAAATAACACGCTAATAGTATACTGTAGAAAAAAATAAAAATTTGATATGAATAAAGAAAAATTTTTAAATCACCTGTCATGCCACCACCCGGACGTGACTTGATGTTCACATAAAGCTTTTTGATGTTCTAGCTTACAGTACATTAAAGGTGAGTAGTGGTTCTTACCTTGCTGCTGGAGGGACATTTTCTCAATACTCTTTGGTTTGTGGAATCACATAAAAAGTTTTGTTTTTGATTAGGAAATTCAGACATATCTATACTTTCCTTGTACCAGAAAACGTATCTCGCCCAGTTAAGGACTGAAAGCACAGTCTGAAAGCACACAGACACACCTGACAGAACCCAGGATCTCTCAGGAAAATGCTTAAAAGTGAACACTACCATCCCGTGTATCCCTAGATAGCCCCATTTGAACACACAAATCTGATGTAAGAATGTTAAGAGTTGGTAAACTCACCATGACCCAAATACTTAGAGTTTTCTTTTCTTTTTTTTTTTTTTTGAGACGAGTCTCACACTGTCACCCAGGCTGAAGTGCAGTGGCGTGACCTCGGCTCACTGCAACCTCTGCCTCCCAGGCTCAAGCAATTCTCTGCTTCAGCCTCCTGAGTGGCTGGGATTACAGGCACCCGCCACCATGCCCAGCTAATTTTTTTGGTTTTCTTTTTGTAGAGACGGGGTTTCAACATCTTGACCAGGCTGGTCTTGAACTCCTGACCTCGTGATCCACCCACCTTGGCCTCCCAAAGTGCTGGGATTACAGGCGTGAACCACCACGCCCAGCCTAGATTTTTCTAAAAACAAACAAGCAAACTTAAGTTTTAGTTTGATTTGATAAAATGAGACATTGTACAGAATCTGTCCTTATATGAGTAAACTTATGTATGGTAAGCACTAGATTGAAAGCCCTGGCAGCTTCTCAGGCAGCAGCCACATTTTTTCGAGGGTAACCTGAAAGCAGCTATCAGCTGGGAGCAGGAGCCAGGGCATTTTTCTCAGCATTCACCTGCAGGGGGCCCTTGGAGAAGTAAGCAAAACATTTTATGTAAACGGTCCAGAAGACTTTTGAAAAATATGCCATGAATATTTAGAGGTTTTGTAGCTGTAGCAAAGTGAGAGGCATGTTGTAGAAACAGTAAAATGACCTCATTTAACCCTTATTATGTTTCCAGCTTGGATGTAAGGATTAGTTGGAAGTCATCCCTGATTAATATTTATCTAGGGGTCAATGATTAACTGTTGTTGTTGATAAGAATATCTGTTTATATTGCATAATGATCACTTTGATTAAGTTCATATACATCAGTATTATTAAAGGATTAGGGTATTTGTGAGCATCATGAATTTTCACATTCAAATCTGCCTTCTCTAAATGACTTAAAACCGTAAGAATTCTGTGTGGAAAAGGAAGGCAGCCCCACAGTACCCATATCACCCTTCATTCATCTCTTGTGTCTCACTGCCAGCAGATCACCAATTCCTATCATCTCTTGGTTCAAGATGTTTTTTAACCCACCTGAAAAGTTATGCTATCCTAAGTTTGCCTCTAAACCACTTTTATTCGTGTAGTTTTAGATGAATTGCATTGATTCCAGATTGCACACATAGGACCTTAGCATAATTTTATGCTTTAGCTTTAAAGATACCCTAATGATTATCATTGTTGTTGCTGTTATTTCATTGATAATCTGAATCTAAATTTTGACATTCTACTATACGGCATTTTTAATTTGAATATTATTTCATACTCTTTCACGCGTAGTTGTGAGACCTTAAGTTGTTTCCAGTTGTGTGCTGTGAGGTCAATCCTCAAGGATCTGAGGATTGGTAGGAAGACCCCTTTCATCTTTCCTGCAGACTTAGGGTCTTTTGTGATTAGCCCTCTTTAATTAAAGTTCTGTCTTTGCCAGACTTCACATGGGCACCAGAAAATAGTAGTATTTTCTACTTTTTAAAAGCCCTCTAGCTTTAAAGCAGTCCCGATTTTAAGGGATTGTCAATGTGGAAAGAACTTGCTGAGCCCTTCTACCTCTTTTGTGTTTTTTTCTTTTTCTTTGATACTGCGTCTTGCTCTGGCATCCAGGCTGGAGTGCAATCGTGAGATCATGGCTCACTGCAGCCTTGAACTCCAGGGCTCAAGCGATCCTCCCGTCTCAGCCTCTCAAGTAGCTGGGACTACGGGCACACATCACCATGTCCGGGTAATTTTTTCCTTTTTTGTTGCCCAGGCTGGTCTTGAACTCCTCTCCTAAAGCAGTCCTCCTGAGTTGGCCTCCCAAAGTGCTGAGATCACAGGCGTGAGCCACTGTACCCAGCTTCTTTTCTATATTTTTGTTAAGGCAAAAAAAAAAAAAAAAAAGTTACAGTTAACATTTATTTTTAAGGTCTTCTTGGCCAACCACAGATATCTTTTGAAAATTTTTCTTACTTGCTATCCCTTTAAAACATCAATGTATTATTTTGAGGCCATATCATTGTCATATTGAAGATCTAGTGGACTTGGTGGGTTCTGTCTCACATTGGTTATTCCTTTTCCTCCCTCTGGCGTGGCCTGTGTGATAGCCCTAGTTTTCTCACAGTCTGCTGTCTGCAAAAGGGAGATACTACTAGCAAAGAATCTCAAAACAACGTTTTCACCTTTGTCCTTGGTAAAAATAATTTCACTTCCAGTTAAAGACAAAGTTTGCAGTAAACAATGTGTTTATTCTTTATGAGTTAATCTTTAAAACCACAGTGGTAGATAACTGGTGAACTGAATTAACTTTATTAGGAAAAAATAAAACAAGCTGTAAAGAGTACATATGATTATTGCCATGCAAATTCTTCTGAGAATCCAGTGAGGAAGTTAAAAAAAAAACAAGGAAAAATTCTTCCAAAGTCTGTATACCATTTTGAAACATTTAACATTCAAATTTTAGTAACTTAGAGTATAGGTATGAAAGGGACGATCTGCAATTTTTCTGAAAATTAGAATGGATTTTCTTTTCATAGCAACTGTGAACTTCAGTTATGTTAGCCAAAGGGCAGTGATTGCCTTATCTTGCAGAGTAACCACATTTTGTTTATTTGAAGTGGTGATAACCTTTGTACAGTTATTTAGACATTGAACAACATGTAGGAGGCCAAGAGGCATCCCCTTAGATGGCCCCTTTTACATGTCAGTTGCCTTGTGCAGGATAGCCACCTCCACTAAAATTTATTTATGAATTGTAAAGGTAACATATACTCATTGTGAAAAAATTCAAAAGATATAGATAGATGTATATAAAATAGAAAATGGAAGTATCCTGCCCTCTCCCTAGCTGTGTGCTTTTTTCATGTGGCACATACTATTTTTTCATGTGGCCACTTTTGTTTTTGCTGGCTGCCTTGGAAGCCACCTGTGAATGAACGCTAATTATTTCATCAGTCCTTACTGAGGGACATCAAAGTTGTTTCCAGTTGTGCTCAGATAGAGCAGTGAGCATCCTTGTGCATTGCTCTATTGTTATGTATGATCGATTTCTAAAAGTAAAATCACTGGGACAAAAGATACACACACACACAAACATACACACACACACACATTTTTTTGTGGAATTACATAAAGAGTTTTGTTTTTGATTAGGACATTCAGACATACCTGTACTTTCCTTGTACCAGAAAATGTATCTCACCCAGTTAAGGGCTGAAAGCACACAGACATACCTGACAGAACCCAGGATCTCTCAGGAAAATGCTTAAAAGTGGACACTACCATCCCGCGTATCCCTAGATAGCCCCATATGAACACGCAAGTCTCACTCTGTCACCCAGGCTGGAGTGCAGTGGCGCAATCACAGTTTACTGCAGCCTTGACCTCCCAGGTTCAAGCAATCCTCCCACCTCAGACTTCCAAGTAGCTGGGACCACCGCACACACCACCATGCCTGGATAATTAGTTTTCTCAGTTTTTGTAGAGACACGGTCCCCCTATGTTGCCCAGGCTGGTCTGAAATTCCTGGGCTCAAGCAATTCTCCTGCCCCAGCCTCCCAAAGTGCTGGGATTATAGGCATGAGCCACCGCACCCAGCCTGGGTATATGTTTTTAAAATATTTTTCTAATTTCAACCAAGTTTTTGATAAGAACTGAACAGCAAACAATTAAAAATAAGAGTACTTTTGAATACTTGAAGGATGACAAATGTCTAGTTCATTAGTTGAAAGATGATTCATATGTGTTATGTAGTTTATGTACATAATTTTGTCTGAAAGTTTAATAAATTCATCTCTGAGTGCCGCTTAGCAGCACAGAAACTCTGAAGACTGTATTTCTAGAAAATAAGTCCTAAGCATAATCATTTACAAAACAATTGTCAAGAAATCTTTACAATGATAATGCTACTAAGGATACATTGTTATATCTAAAAAATGAGAAAGCAGTTTTAACGTGCCTCCTTGAATTCTTAAGTTGATTTTTCTTAAAGTAATACATATTTTTGTTTTAGGAACTGGAACAGTACAAAAGAAGTTCTTCCAAGTCTTGGAAACAAATCGAGCTTGATTCTTGAACCTAATTCAATTGTTGTATATTTATTTCTTCTTTTCTAAATACAAATAAGATTATATTATGAATTAACTATTGTGGCAATATGTGAAGAAAGTTAAACTGTATAATTTGTGAAAGAACAAGCTGGATTTCTTGGACTAGTGCTCTCCCTGTATATTTTGAAGCTTTTTAAAAGGAAAAAATATTGTAGAACCATGTGTAATTTTTTTTTAAATAAAAGAATCTTCTACTCCCTACCTCTAACATGTTTAAGTGGTATATACTCAATGCAGCATGTATAAGTTTCTGCTTATATGTTTTTAGGAATATAAAAGTAAGAGTATTTGGTTACGGTTTTAAATGCAAGGTTAAGTGCCCATGTTAGACACATTCTTTCTAAGAGGCGTTCTCAGCTGTAGCTGGGAGGAAACCGGAATTGGGTTCACAGATGTCAAAACTTTACTCTGAACAGTGAGGCGCAAGAAGCACCTGAAATAGGAGATGCACATCCCTGGGTCCCCACACCTAGATAGTCACCATCTGTGGTCTGGAATGGGGTGTTTTTAATCAGCACCCATTTCACCCCTCTGTGAGACTGACACATTTATTTTAAATACCACTTTTTGAAGAACAGGCACATTTAACGAGATATCCTATCAAGAAGCAGGACAAAACATCACGTGTTGGGGATAACCAGGATTATTTCCAAGGTGGGATAGCCTTTAAGAAGCCGTTCTCATCTGTAGATTGGTGTACCTGCTAGCCAAGTTCATTTTGAGTAAGTATGATTGCTGTGATTAAAAATGATTTATCCTGTGTTCTTCCATATCCACACGTAAAATATGTTGACTCCCAGCTTCAGATAAACACATTTACTACCCCAAGGGAGTGGTGTCTGAGCAGATAGCAAGCCATCTGCTTATTGCAACGAACCAGGACTTCATAAATTATTTGCAGTATGTACGGTTCTCACACCCTTGAGAACAGAGTTTTCAGCATGTTTCCAAGGAACCTCAGTCTTAAGCACAGGTTTCCTGCTGAGTGCTATGGAAAAAGAGATCCCTTTAAATTTACAGTGAACATTATGATCTCAGAAACATCACTGACTTGGTGGGAAGAAACAGCCTGTTCCACAAGAGTAATAGGAATTGCTGTTATATACTTTGATTTTCTTACACATCACTGTCCATTTTTGACTTGAGACACAAACTGTCACATGTTGAAAGCCATTGTGTTTTTCTAAGGTGCTATCACTAACATTTAATAGCTTGAAGTCACGTGTGATGTCAGTTTTCCAAATGTTTCTGAGCTAGAATGAAATTCATCTGCATATGAATAGTAGAAAATGTTTCCACTTATGCTGTACACCCATATCTTTAGTAAGTTGAAATCAGTGATTTCAAAAGAGGTTCCTGTGGGACTCTCTTTGAACTACTGTAATAGATTATCATCTCCAGAATTGTCTATAACTGATGTGACATATATAATCTGTAAGACATTGTGTAACTATTACACCATAATCATCCATGTCAAAGACCTTTTATAAAAATTGACAATACTAGTCTGATAATTTACCAATGCCTCCACATCCTTAAATACTGTTCTGAGAAACAGAATTTTACTGTGGTTTCGTTAATGAAATGATCTTTCCTACTTCAGTGTGAGACATTTCAAATGCTATAATTTATCTTTCTTCACAAGTTAGGTCACAGTCAGTGAACAAGTTCATGCGCTCTCTACCATATTCTCACCCAAAGTTACCATAGTAACACTGAGACAGTTTCATTTCGGGTTCTTACATGGAATTACTTGAAGATCAATCAGAAACAGAATCAGATCAGTCATTTTAATAGAGAACCCAATTTTTTTTTTTTTTTTTTTTTGAGACAGAGTCTTACTCTGTCGCCAGGCTGGAGAGCAGTGGCACAATCTCAGCTCACTGCAACCTCCACCTCCCAGGTTCAAGCGATTCTCCTGCCTCAGCCTCCCAAGTAGCTCCTGCCACCACGCCCAGCCAATTTTTGTATTTTTAGTAGAGACAGGGTTTCGTCACGCTGGCAAGGATGGTCTCGATCTCTTGACCTCAAGATCCACTTGCCTCGGCCTCCCAAAGTGCTGGGATTACAGGCATGAGCCACCGCGCCTGGCCAGAACCCATTTTTAGTAACCTATTTATATTATTTTATCCTTGAAAATATGTAATACAGGTATCTGTATTTATACATATCAGCACCCTTTACAGTTCAAGAATGTGAAATTTCTAGGGTGTACCCTGTTCTTTGTAAATAATATGTCAGCACTTTTTTTCTTTCTTTTTTAGAGACAGAGTCTCCCTCTCTCTGTTGCCCAGGCTGGAGTGCAGTGGTTCCATCGTAGCTCACTGCAGCCCCTACCTCCTGGGTTCAAGCGATCCTCCCACATCAGCCTCCTGAGCAGCTGGGATTACAGAGGTGAGACACCATGTCTAGCTATGTCAGCATTTTTTCTATATGGACTTTAACAGCTGATCTCCAAACTTAACAAGGTTATTTCTCAGTGTATACACTTCAGTAACATTTACTTGTAATTCTATAAGTAAACTCAGCTGAAAGTGAAAAGTAGCAAACGAATCTTTAAAAACATAACCAGAGGTTTGTCTGGTGTGCTTTGTTCACTGTTGAGCCCATTCCTGCAGTTTTTTATTTTAATCCTCAGTAAAATTACTGGGTGCTCTGTAGCAGTGTTGCTCGCCATTCATCTGCCCAGCATTCTCTCGATGTGATCAGGTAACTCCGACCCCTCGTGTGGAGGGGTCTTTTAACTCTGGGTCTTCCAGGAACAGAAGCATTCTTACCCAATTCTGCATGATAACCTTGCTTCATCTAAACCCACAACTCTTTTTTTCTGTCACTTACAGTCAGTAATCCATCAAGCCTTTTACTTTTGCCTAATCCTTTATCAAATGTAAACATATTTTTAGGATGACCTATTTTTTCTGTGCCTAGAACAAGGAAAAAAATAGTCACACGAGTCTCCCATAGCTTTATGAATGATTATTATTTAATTCTTGGGCCAGCTCAGTCACAATTTCCAAATACCACATGTCCCTGCAAGTTGTAACAGGAAGGGACTATGAACCACTTCCATTGCATTCAAGGCCTGCATGGATCCAAGAGGCACAAATAGAGTCTTAATGGTTAAAAGACCTGAGATGTCCTATCAAGAAAGAAATACATGGCACTCTCATTTCAGACATTCAGAGCAGTCATGCACAGTCAGCAGCTTCACTTCCATTTTCCCAGCCATGGTTTTCACTATCTGCTAATGAGATGATCCCTTATTTTGAAAACAACTATTCCTAGGATGACAAGAGCTGGAATAAATGAATACAAAATCAGAAAGTTCATTGTGAATCTAGATGTTGCACCTGGGCTGGTTTCCTCAATGAATTGAATTCCTTGAGTGAAGGCACACATTGGATTAGTCATCACAGAAACATTTGAGCTGCCTGTCAAGGAAAAGATTGACAGTATCAGGTGTGGTTTATCTCAGGTAATTTAATCAACAAGTATTTACCAAATGCTTGCTAAGTACCCTTATTAATGAAAAATACAGGACACTTTAGCAAGCACAGAGTTTACAATTTGAAGAAGCAAGAGTGAGCAGTTCTGGCCTTTGGCCTCATTTGAAGATGGACATGCTTTTGTTTCTATTTTGAGTATAGATTAATTACCACATTTGTGATAAAAATCATGGTCCCTTAGCACAGGCTATCCTAAAGTTACTGACATTATCACTTAAAATTATTTAAAACACTACTGAATTCAGCCATATTATTTGGTTGTCTTTGGAGTGGCCCTGAGATTTTTTTGGTGGGTTTTTTTTTTTTTTTTTTGAGACACAGTTTCACTCTGCTGCCCAGGCTGGAGTGCAGTGGCTCGATCTTGGCTCACTGCAACCTCACCCTCCTGGGTTCAAGTGATTCTCATGCTTCAACCTCCTGAGTAGCTGGGATTACAGGCATGCACCACCACGCCCGGCTAATTTTTGTATTTTTAGTAGAGACGGGGGTTTGCCATGTTGGCCAGGCTGGTCTCGAACTCTTGACCTCAAGTGATCCACCCACCTCGGCCTCCCAAAGTGCTGGGATTACAGGCGTGAGCCACTATGCCCAGCCACCGTGAGATTTCTAATGGCCATGAGGTCCTTGTCCTGGTCCTACTTCTGACTTTTGCCAAAAGTGGCTTTACTTAGCTGTGTACGATGTACATTTTGGGGAAAAAGAAGCCACTTCAGCCTGCTTGAATGTGTTCAGTAGATACAGAAACTGAGTCTATCCCGAATATACTAGAGTTTACCTCAGTGTACATAAGGTCTGTCATTTTCTAACAACATCCGAATGTCCCTTACCTATTGACCTTTGACAGGAGACTAACTTGACTACTGCTTATTTTCTTTCATTTTAAAAATCAGAGAAAATGGACCGTATTTCAAGACAGAGTTTTAACTTGAATTATTATGAAACACAGCTTTTATTTCAAAAATACATTTCCTCCAATAAATTGCTTCCTCAGAGTAACGTGCAAAAATAATATCCCCAAATAGAATACTTACCACAAGTGAAATTCAGTCCGTAGAACTCATTGACTAAAAGAATCTCACTGCAATATTTTTGGAATGTAAAATAACTGATGATTTTAAAAGGAATGGGCATTTCTTGTATGTTTCTTAAGAAAAAGAAAACAAAAATGAAATTCAGTGGGCTCTGGCAATAGTCCTACCAAATAAAAAGAAAGGCAATCCTTATGTTTTCCAACATGAATATAGTTTTCTATCTCTTTATTGTAAAAATGATGCTCACTATAAAAAAAACCTTCAAACAACATTGAAAAATATAAAGAAATACCATTGCCTAGAAATAACTATTGTTAACATTTTGATAATATATATAACATATGTGTTTATAAAGTTTTATGTAAGTGGAATTAAACTCTTCATGCTCTTTCCCAACCTACTCTTTCTGCCAAACATGTCTCAGACATCCTTGCAAGTCAGTAAGCATAGTACTTTGTCATTTTTAGTCACAGCTTGGTAGCCTGTTATAGTGAAGACCTTAATTTAACAGTTGTCTCAAGTAGACAGTTACTGTCTAATTATTTTGGTAAGCACTATTGATATAAACATACAAGAAAATACAGACCTAACACATACCAATTGGAGGAGGAGATTTGTGATTACACAGAAAGTTGAAGGTACCAGTGTAGAAAGTTAGAACTAACCTAGAATACAAAGGAAAAAGGAAGGAGAGACCGAGCCAACATTCATTGTGAAAATGTAATATGTCTCCACTCCAATCTATGTCAGGTGAAACTTTATGCTGACACTGTGGTCTTTTTAGTCCACCATATATTTCCTGTCAATCAAAAGATTTAAAATTCTTTCTGGTTGCAAGACACTAGTTCTAGGAGCTTGAGAACTTCAAAAGACGTATCCTATCCCTAAAGAACTCGTAATGTAGTTGGAGATATAGACTATATCCTTAAAACTATAAAAATACACAGTAGTGAACTATTTGTGCCAAGAAAGTATTAAAATGTGTACCACACATCCGTGCTGTTCTTGTATTTAGTATTTATGGTTTCACTTATTTCCAAGTGGTCCTCAAACTTTCAGTTATTGTCAGTTTCCTAAGGCACAACATTGAATTAACCACATTGAGAGGTTACTAATTGAAAAGGATACGTGGGACTCTGGGAAGGAATTAGGGGAACAGAAAGGAAATTCTAGGAAGGCAGAAATGGTATGAGTACAGGCATACCAAGGGCTGCATATTGGACTGACTGGACCAGAAAGACTGGAGGAGAGGATGTGAAGGAACAGTGGGAGGGGAGCTCGGAACAATAGCCTGAGACAGCTATTTCAGGGCCTTGCCGTGAGTTGAGGTCAAATGACCATGGATGAGAAAGGTGATGTTGAAATCAGCATTCTGAGAAAATTAATGTGACTTCAGCAAGAAGGATGGCCAGAATGAGGGCAGAGTAAGAACAGAAAAAAAAAAAAAAAGCAGACTCCAACAAAAGTTCAAGTTTGAGATGACAAAGGCCTGGAGTAGGATGATGGCCATGAGAGGGTGGCTGTCTAGTGGCTAGGGTGGTATCTTTTTGAGGTAGGAACCGTGCACCTTTGTTTCTGCCTATACCACACGGAGTCAAACAAAAATGTTCCAAATGCACCTATGGTTTGATATCAGAAAAGAAAACCAACATGATTTGGTGAGTGATGCAGTGTGTATACAGTTCAAAGACAGAGTCATTCACTTATTCACTCAACAAATAATGTTTGCAGGCCTGATGGTCCAAGGCCTAATTGGGCTGGCTGCTGAGAAGGTCTAAAATGATGAATGAGACACAGCTGCTGCCTTCAAGAGGCGGATAATCTATTACTGCAAAGGAAAACCATGACAGGAGGTAGCGTGTGATAGGCTGAGAGAGAAAACAAAGGGGGCCTTCAGAAAGAGTGCGCCTCTAACCTTGGGAACAACCAACAAACTTTGTGCAGGTGGCAGAGAGAGACAAATGGATCAGTGAAAGGCACAGACAGAAGGAGAAGCAGCGGGAGGAACCATAGATCTAGATGTATTGACATGACATTGTCCACATTATGTTGGTTTGTGCTTTTTTGGTCTCTTTTTTTGAAACTGAGTCTTGCTCTGTCACATAGGCTGGAGTGCAGTGGCGCGATTTTGGCTCACTGCAGCCTCTGCCTCCTGGGTTCAGGTGATTCTCCTGCCTCAGTCTCCTGAGTAACTGAAATTACACGCACGTGACACCACACCCAGCTAATTCATATTATGTTGTTAAATGGGAAAAAACGTATGCATATTTTATATCTTATACAACAGGATTATTTCATCTTTGTTAAATTTTATATCAAATTCTAGCAAGAACTACATCAAAATTTAACTCTGGGCTCTGATACTTTAGGTAACTTTTACTTTCTTCCTCATCCATATTTATATTGTGAGCATTTCTTCCCCCAAGAACTTCATGATTTTGTAAGCAGAAAAAACAGCAAAGCTAATTTCCTTTGTGTTTAAAGGAGAAGGGAGCCAACAGCACAAATGCCACAGGCAGTTCACCTAGAAAGATGATGACTGGGCAGGAAAATGGGTAAACGGAATGACTAGCAGGTTGATGTGGCCTTTAAGAGCAGAGTTTTAATTCAGTGATGGAAGTGGAATTCATGTGAAGCCTTGGGATGTTAAGATTTTGCAACTAATCTGAGAGCATTTAGTATTCTTTGCCACTGCCTACCTTTTAAGAGCAAATTAACCACCAGGCGCAGTGGCTCACACCTGTAATCCCAGCACCTTGGGAGACCGAGGCAGGGAAATCACTTGAGGTTAGGAGTTTGTGACCAGCCTGGCCAACTTGGTGAAACCTCATCTCTACTAAAAATACAAAAATTAGCTGGGTGTGGTGGCACGCACCTCTAATCCCAGCTATTCAGGAGGCTGAGGCAGGAGAATTGCTTGAACCCAAGAGACGGAGGTTGCAGTGAACCGAGATCGTGCCACTGCACTCCAGCCTGGGTGACACAGTGAGTGAGACTCTATTTCAAGAAACAAAAAAATAAAGAGCAACTAACCTCCTTTTCCTAAAAACCCAATACAAATGCTGCTTATGATGGCATTACTTCCAGATAAATCCATCATAAGTTGAAAATATTGTAAGTTAAAAATGCATTTAAGGCTAGACGCGGTGGCTCACGTCTGTAATCCCAGCACTTTGGGAGGCCGAGGTGAGCGGATCACCTGAGGGCAGGAGTTCAAGACCAACCTGGCCAAAATGGTGAAACCCCATCTCTACTAAAAATACAAAAATTAGCCAGGCATAATGGTATGTCCTGTAATTTCAGCTACTCGGGAGGCTGAGGCAGGAAAATCACTTGAACATGGGAGGCAGAGGTTACAGTGAGCCAAGATCATGCCACTGTACTCCAGCCTGGGTGACAGAGTGAGATTCCCTCTCAAAACAAACAAAAAACAAAACAAAAACACATTTAGGACACCTAGCCTACCAAACATTACAGCTTAGCCTGGTCTGCCTTAAATGTGCTCAGAACACTTAACATTAACCTACAGTTGGGAAAATTCATCTAACACAAAGCTTATTTTATAATAAATTGTTGAATATTTAATGTAATTTATTGAATCCTGTTCTGAAAGTAAAAAACAGAATGATTGTATGCCTACTCAAAATACAGTTTCTAGGCCTGTTGCGGTGGCTCATGCCTGTAATCCCAGCACTTTGGGAGGCCGAGGTGGGCAAATCACTTGAGGTCAGGAGTTCGAGACCAGCCTGGCCAACATGGCAAAACCCCATCTCTACTAAAAATACAAAAATTAGCCAAGCATGGTGGCACACACCTGTAATCCCAGCTATTCAGGAGACTGTGGCACGAGAATCGCTTGGACCTGGGAGGCAGAGGTTGCAGTGAGCTGAGATAGTGCCACTGCACTTCAGCCTGGGCGTAGAGTGAGACTCCGTCTCAAAAAAAACAGAAACAAAATACGGTTTCTACAGAACGAGTATCACTTTCTCAAAAAATCGTAAGTCAGGGATTATCTGTACATGAAATGGCACCAGATTAACTGCAACAATGATTCAAATAATATAAAAGAGGAGATGCTGCCCAAGGTTGGCTCTGTACATTGCTGGCTTGACTCTTGGCGTGATTTGATTTCTGCATTTTTCATAAATATTAACAATCCACTTAAGCAACATGGACAAATACAATGTAATGGTCTTAGTGTGAAAAAATATCCTCCTTGATTGATCAAAGCCTAGTTCACTTTGCTTTATATAATATCTCACCTTCATATAACTCACTACAATTTATAATGTGTTTTCACATTGATTATTTTCTTTCCTTCTCATGATCCCTTGAGGTATCATGGTGAGGCTGAAATAGTGATCTCTTTTTTGCAAATGAGGAAACTAATTTAGGTAGAAAAGAGACTGGCAAGTGGTAGAGGAAGTTTCTGACTCAGGTCAGCCTCTCTCAGGAAGTCACATGCATCACAGCCTTCATAGTGGTGTGACTTGAGCAAAGTCAAGTCTGAGCTTCATTTTCTTTTCTGAAAATGGATTGCTCTGAGAGTTAAATAATTAAACACACACACATATAATTTTATATAGTAGACGCTCAGTAATGTTTTTGCTTTTTGACTTGAGTTTTAAAAGTTTAAGTCAAAGAAACAGCCTTCATGTTTCCTTGGGGACCCAGGGATTACTTACTAGATCCCACTCATACCACCTGCCTGGGATCATTTTTTAGCCTTTTAAAATTTTCTGCCCTTTTTGCTGCTGCTTTTTAAAAACGTGTGTGGATGCATTTTTTCCTGGTTATAAAATGATACTTGTCCATTATAGAACATTGATAAAATACGGAAATATGAAGAAAAAATTAAAATCAATATCACCTAGAGATAATTACTGCTATCATTTGGTGCATGTCCTTTAAGCCTTGATACTGTTTGGAGCAGTCTTTTATCCTGCAGGCTCTTTTTTTATCTGACTAGTCTTAATTCCTAAGAATAACTGGGAATTGAGAACTGCAGTACAAAATCAACAGTACCAGGTCAGAAATGAACTAATATATGCAATTTATTTAGCCTGTCACGTGGGCTGTGAGTTTTTCCTGGGACATCTGGACTGGTTTTCTTCTCTTGGTATAATGGCTTATTACACGTGAATCATATCATAACATAAACTTGTCAGTTCCTGATTCCCAATAAAAAAGACATTTTATTGGACAAATGAACAGTTCAAGGTCTAAGGCAATAATGATTAACGAGCAGTACAAATGCTGCAGACTATAAGGTAATATCCATAACCACTATCAGTTCTCTGGTATTCCTTTACTTCAGTCATTATTAGGTGATCATTAATAACAGGTTATCCCAATCTACATTTTTTGAATTATGATATCTTACCTGACGAATCCAGATCCAATAAGCACCCCCGCAATGGACAGCAGAGCCACTACACTGTTGACTATATTTGGATTTTGGATGATACCAAGTAGCACAAGAGTTAGAAATTCACCAATTAAGTGGGGGGCCAAGAGAGCAGCAGAGAAATATCCAAATCTGGCAACCTCAGGATGTAAGCCCAGCGTCCTAGAAAAGCATAAGCTCTTCAGTTTCCTCTCCAAGGGCTATCATTTAAGAAAAATACTGTGCTTGCCTCTATGAATAAACCCTTGGTAGTGAGTGGGTGGGAGGCGTTTGCAGGGCAAGCCACACTCCCCTTTGAAAGGTCTTTTCGGAACAGAGCCAACATGAGACTATTTATTACATCAAATTGTTCCCATTGGCTGCAATTCATTGGGAGCCACCTTTTCCCTTTCACAGCTCCTTCAGCTCTCATAGGAAAACATTAAATTACTTAGACAATGGTCACAACTCACTGCAGGAAGCAGGCTTGTTGAACTCTACAGGCTTCTTCATAAATAACCATGTTCTGCCTAGCCAGCACCACACCTACCTTAATGTTAACGGGCTCACCCAACCCGCCTCCCAGCACCCCTTGCCTGAACTTCATCTCTGTTCTGTGGGATTATTGCCTGTGTGAAAACCCCTCACTTCTTGTGTCCTTGATCAGGTTAGCCCTCCCCAGGTCTACTCCATTCCATTCTTGTCTTTTATTCTACCAACCCCTTCCACTGATTTGACCTTCGTTTTCTTTTTTGAGACAGAGTTGCACTCTGTTGCTCAAACTGGAGTACATTGGCTCATTGCAACCTCTGCTTCCCGGGTTCCAGTGATTCTCCTGCCTCAGCCTCCCAAGTAGCTGGGATTACAGGTGTGCGCCACCACACCCGGCTAATTTTTTTGTGTTTAGTGGAGATAGGGTTTCACCATGTTGGCCAGGCTGGTCTCGAACTCCTGGCCTCAAGTGATCCACCCACCTCAGCCTCCCAAAGTGCTAGGATTACAGGCATGAGCCACCGTGCCTGGCCTGACCTTCGTTTTCTGGCAAACAAACCACCCTATATCCATGCACCTTTCCTCTTCTATTCCTTTCTCCAAATTACATTTCCCTGGTGATAGCATGTCTTCAATGACCATTAGGCATGGCTGCTCTTTATCCCATTTGTAGAGTAAGCAGAAAAGGTTGGCGTGTCTTATACTCACCCCTCCTTACCACTTCCTCTTCAAGGCCATCTACTTTTCCTCTGTACAAATCATGAAGTTTGCCTATGCTATCAATGCCATTCCTCGTTGTTGTCTTCTGTGATGTTTAAAACATCCTCTCACCTTTGATTATTTTATAGCATCTGGACCAGAGTCATTCTTTCTGCTCCTCTCCACTATCATTTTCCTCAAGCTCTTTAACCTTCTTGATGAGCCATCCACATCAGTGGTTCCTAATTAGCTAATCTCAATTCCAGTGGCTCCAGCAACCTAATCTTCATCACTCACCGTGTCTTGGACTTAAATATCACTCAAAATGGTTTCACTCCCAGGATTTCAGAGTCTGAGGACACCCTCTCTGATGATGGCCTCGGGCCTCTCACTTCCCCAGTGCCCTCACTGCCATAGATGCTGGGCCCCTTCTGCCATTCTTTGCCTTATCAGTTCCCACATCTGGGGACCCTATTCTCCCTTAAGCAATGGAAGGTATGCTGGACAATGCCTATTGCCGCACTAACTGGATCCCCTCTGCCATCTTGCCTCAGCTGGCCCCTGGACCCCTAAGATTTCCTCATTGTGTCTTGAGTTCTAATAGCACGTCCCATTATGACTGATATAAACCTCTACTTTAAAATTTCCCCTCCCCAATTGCAATCTCTCTCCCCAGTGCTCAGCAGCTGAATCCACCTTCCATTTTATGAATTTCTTGATATCTTCATCATCTCTATTTTTCATTCTCTCTCTCCCCCTCTCTCTTCCCGTGCCCCATCTTTGAAAGTGTGACCCTAGCTGCTTGCATCCTTGATCCCATGTTATTGATTCCCCTATCCCTACCTTGATCTACTCTGGAAACTTCCCCTTTGACTTATCCAAATTTTGACTGCATTTTCATCTACTCTCAATCTGATGTTTTTTGATGGTCTTATCTACCACATGCTAAAACAACCATTTTTTGAACTTGATCATGATTAAAGTAACTGCCCCTTTCATCCTACCCTGTAACACCAAGTTTCTCAAAACAGTATCTGCTTCCTCCATCTTACACCTTACCTTCTTGTAAACCTGACTTACACCCCCATGACTCTACCAAAGCTCTTTTTTGGAAAATTGCAATGGCCTCCTCCCCTTATGCCTCACCTCCTTTAACCCCTGCAATATTGAAGTGTTTACAACATTTCCTTGAAACTCTATCCCTCCTCATCCTCTCTGATGCTGCCCAATCCTGCTTCTCTTTCTGCCTCCCTGATCACCCTCTGCCGCCTCTATTGGCTTGCTGTCCTCTTCCCACCCTCGAATGTGTCAGTTTTAAGGTTTTACACTCAGGCTGTTTTCTCCCTGCCCCTGGGCCCCCCATGCACCTGGGTCCCAGCCACTTCAGAGCCCTCTTCTCTGGCCCAAGCCCTGCCATGAATGGGGACAGGCCATTCCCAGGCATGTGTCGTCTTGTTGGTTTGTTCTCAGGTCTCCCCCAGCCCACAGTTGGGCTATTTACAATAACATTAATGTCCTGGAAGATAGGACATTGCACTAGACACTGATGGGCAAAGTGTAGATCCTCCGGAGCAGAGAACTTCACCCTGGAGCTCTCCCTGCACAAGTCCCACTAGCTCCATGACTGCATGGGAGCCCGGCCCTGGGTGAACAGAACAACCCCTCACCAGTAGCACACACTGCTGAAAATCATCGTGGCAATGACACTGAAGGGGAGGACGTGCAGCACGTAGGCCAGCAGCATCTGCCACTTCTGATAGAGGCCATCCTGACTCTCCTGGTCGCTGACAGCTCGCAGCACAGGAACTGGGAATGGAAGGCAGGTTTCAGAAGTCAGTCACCACCCAGCTGAAAGAGGGAGGGCTAGCCCAAGCTGAACGTGAGGTCTGTCAGGGCTGGATGGTGAGGACCAGCTAGGGGGAGTTCCCTAGTCATAGAAGGAGGGGACCTGCCATCCACAGGACAATAAATTTCCACCCCAGAAATCTACACTCTACCTGAATTGCAATACAATTGCAAAAGATGTCATTTATTTCCTTCTCTCTAAAGTGAGGAGTTGTCACCAATTCAAGAAAAGTACATGCAAAAGGGGCATGAATAAGTGATTTGAAGCATTTTGTCTCCTTTCTGTGCAGGACTCCCCCCGGCCCGCCCCACCCTGCCCCTGCCACCAGCAGCCTGCATTTTAGACTTGCTCTCAGAAGGCCAGGCAAACCCCACAGATGCAGACACTTAGCATTGCCCCTCATGTCAAGCTCTAGGGTAACTTCACAATAGCAAAGTCCTTCCGTCTTTTTTTTTTTTTTTTTTTTTTTTGAGATGGAGTCGCTCTGTCGCCCAAACTGGAGTGCAGTGGTTGGATCTTCGGATCTCAGCTCACTGCAAGCTCCGCCTCTCGGGTTTACGCCATTCTCCTGCCTCAGCCTCCCCAGTAGCTGGGACTATAGGCGTCCGCCACCTCGCCCGGCTAGTTTTTTGTATTTTTTAGTAGAGACGGGGTTTCTCCGGGTTAGCCAGGATGGTCTCGATCTCCTGACCTCATGATCCGCCCGTCTCGGCCTCCCAAAGTGCTGGGATTACAGGTTTGAGCCACCGCGCCCGGCCAAGTCCTTCCGTCTTATTCCCTAACAGTGTTGCCTTTGGGGAATCCCTCTAACGCCAGCTTCCTGCAAGGTTAGGCAACCAGGTGTTGTCTCTGGAATTCCACTGAATTTGAAAATTAGGTGCTGGCTGTCCTAAAACCAGCTCCAAAAAGAAGCTAATGGCACACAGTTGGCCTGGTCGCTGAGCCCCCATGGGCCGTGCATTCGAGGTGGCCAAGATAAGATAGGAGGAATGATCTTTTGAAAAACTCCTCAAACTCTCCCCACCAGTGCATTGTCACTTCATGTTTCCCTGGATCCTTAGCCCTCAGAGAGATCCATCTGGTGAGCTCATTCATATTAATGTGTTGGTAACTCAATAGTTGCCTTTCCCCAGAGAGGGAATCCGGAGAGGGCCGGGTTGAGCTCAGAGAAATACCCTTATAATGGTGGACTTTTGTAAGGTTACAGCTGGAGAAGGGAGGTGTTTAGGGAGAAAGAGGTGCACTTCCAGCACGTGGGCACTTACACAGATTCACAGCATTGAGCATGCCTGTGTACGGGGTGGAGCCCACAAACATGTAAAGGAGACCCACGCGGTCCTGGATAGCACCATTTAGCACATTGTTCTGGACCCGCAGAACGAAGAAGAGGAGGAACAAACCCATGGTCAGATTCTGAAGGAGACGCATCATCACTGCCAGCTTATTTCTCACCAAGTTTCTTGTCACTCTCCTGAAAATAAACAACCCTGTTTTAATTCCTTTTCAGAACTGTTATTGGGGGATGGCTAAATACCTCCAATGGGCATTGCTCACATTTGTGAGCCTCTTACCTCAGGAGAACACCAAGTTTGGAGAAAACTCCGGGAGAATCTTTGGTTTTGAAAGGAACCATCGGTAATGTTTTCAGGTGTTTCGTTCTTTCAATATTCTCCAAAGTTTTATGACAAATTGCTGATTTCTTGTAGGCAGATTCTATCATCTGGACTCTCTTGTAGGTTTCTATTTCCCTTTCCTTGCTTTGGGTATCCACTGATGTCAGGTCCACTAAAAGTTTTTCCCAAAAGATGTCACCCAATGTGTTTTTAAATGCATGCATGCACATGGATATACAATTAGTACAGGAGTACTGGCCATAATACCTCATCCCATCAAGATAAAATTTGTGGTTAATGCCCACCTATAAAATCAGAATACTTTAAAGCATCCCAGCAGGGCCTTGAGGATCCCACTGGGATTATCTGGGAGAATTCCCAAGCTCAGCTAATTATGCTCTGATAAAGTAGTAGCAGTGCGCCAATTTGTTTGAGAGAGATCCCCGACCTCATTCTGATAGTCATCTTTGGCAAGTTAATTGACCCGGCCAAATTAATTCCTTGAAGAGTATAAAGCACAAAAACAAAAGCAAAAATCAAACCCACTAGAGCTCGTGTCATCCAGGCAGAAGTCTGAGATGAGACAGTTTAAAAAACATTCATGATGGGGAATGTAAAAGAAAAACTTACTATAGAAGTCAAAAGGGTTTGAATGTTCAGGACAAGGGTAACCGCAGTCACTGAAGAAATCAAGCATTTCCACTGGTGTGCCACAGAAAATCAGCTCTCCGAAGCTCAGGATGGCAATTTTGTCAAAGAGCTGATCAGACAACAGACGAAGTTAGTGTGTGATCACAAGGGTAGCGACGCACTTCAAATGTCTCCGGGAACACTGATGCAGGCCCAAGGTCAAGTATTCCTTACAGTCGCCATGTCCTTATGGGAAATGCATTTCTAAGCAGTCAGTCCTTCGATGACCTTGGCCCTGCATCAGTATTCTTGGAGACATTCGAAGTGCATCGCTACCCTTGTGAGCCTAGGCTACCACTGTGGGTCACGCTGCCTCCCATCCTGAGGTCCAGCTTCATATCTGGGAGAGACAAGCATGACTGAACCTGCGGTTAAGTCCCAGCCAAGCCAAGTGAGTGACCTCGGGCGAGCTGGGGTGGGTCTTAGTTTGTTGTTTTGTTTTCATTTTAAATCTCGGCTCCTCCTCTATAAAAAGCAAATAAAAGCTAACTAAAGGGATACTGGGCAGAGAAAGTGAGATTTTTTTTGGAAGGAAATCTGTATGATTTCATGGAAAAACACAGCCTTTGAAGCCAACTTGGCTGTGAAAGCCTAATGCTAGCTTTTTACTATTAATAACTGTGTGATCTTGGCTCAATTAGTTGTTGTTGTTTTGTTGTTGTTGTTGTTGTTGTTTTTGAGACGGAATCTCACTCTGTCACCCAGGCTGGAGTGCAGTGGCATGATCCCGGCTCTCTGCAACCTCCTGGGTTCAAGTGCTCCTCCTGCCTCAGCCTCCCAAAGTGCTGGAATTACAAGTGTGAGCCACCGTGCCTGGCCACTGGTACAAATCTTACCCCTGCCCCTGCGATTCCCAGCTCAATACACCATAGACCCGGCCTTTACGAGTTGAATCCCTTACCTGAAAAAGCTCAGAACGGGGCTGGTGAATGGTGAGAACCACAATTCGGTTCCTGCGAGCCAGTTCCACCAGGAGGATGACAATCTGATTAGCAGTCATGCAGTCCAGGCCTGTGGTCGGCTCATCAAACAGCATGACCTCTGCCAGCAAAGAAGGGCCAGACTTCTGAGGCACTGCAGAGCCCAGGCTCTGTGCTTAAAACTCGGAGTTCTGAACTGTTCCTTATTGAGCTTGCACCACATCCAAACAGTGTGCAGTGGGAAGGAAACATGTAAACTAGCTTTCAGCCTGAGCTCAGGAGAAAGCACCTGCTGTGGAGGGGCCTAGTTCCCAGCTCTGGAGCACATGTGGGGCTCAAATCCTCGAGGGTACAGGGAGTAAGGAGATCAGGCCTCTTATAGGGTACTATGGGCCATCTGCGCTCTGCTCAGGGCACCCTGCCAGAGAACAACGGCTGGCAGGCTGGCATCAAGTTGTTTTAAAACAAGACTGAGAGGAGGCTGGTCAAAAAGACAACCCCATTTCATGTCTGTAACATTTTCCAACACCAGCAGGGTCTTTGCACAGAAAAGAAAAAAAATCTGACTAATAAAACAAGGTCTGAAGTGTGGCAGGCATTTGGGTTCTTTAGAGGGTTTAAAGTAACTTATTTCTACCTATACAGTGACAAGGGGGCCGGGCGCAGTGGCTCACGCCTGTAATGCCAACACTTTGGGAGGCCGAGGCGGGCAGATCACCTGAGGTCAGGAGTTCGAGCCCACCCTGGCCAACATGGTGAAACCCTGTCTCTAGTAAAAGTACAAAAATTGGCCGGGTGTGGTGGCGGGCTCCTGTCATCCCAACTACTCAGGAGGCTGAGGCAGGAGAATCACTTGAACTCGGGAGGTGGAGGTTGCAGTGAGCAGAGATTGCACCACTGCACTCCAGCCTGGGGGACAAGAACACGACTGTCTCAAAAAAAAAAAAAAAACAAAAAAGTGACAAGGGCTCTTAAAAACATCTCTCTTATTTGCCTTCTAGTGACCAAGCACCATCTGAAGAACAGGCAGTCCTGGTCTACCACAGTGCAAAGAAAGGATCCAGATGCAGTTTGTCCTCTCCAGCTGCATATGAGTGGCGAGGTTTCCCCAGGTGATGGGGAAAATGACCAAACCAGGCAGAGGATCGACTACTCTGTTTTGATACTCCCTTCCCCACAACATACACACTTTTGAGTTTATCGTTCAAATTCCTATTTTAATTCCTGCCATTTCATAAACACCTGTGGTCATACCAAAACTCACTGGCTCTCCCCAGCCCACACAGTGGTATTCCCCTGGTGAGGAGAAATGATTGGCCGGGCAAGGCTCCGTGTTCATGGAAAATCCCAATGGAACACTCCAACACCAATGCAACGCTTCCGGGTCCAGGAGTTGTTTTGTTTGGATGATGGAATCACATCAGGAAATGAACTATACAGCATTTCTGAAAAAACTGGGTCCCCAATTTGAAAAATCTATGATTTCAGTTGCACACAAACCCCTTTCTGAATGAGGACTGTGAAGACAGGGCCCAAAGCATCTGCGACACACAGAAGATGTCCAGACAGCAACTAGTAACAGTTCTGGGTGCCACTTACTGGGATCCCGGAGCAGCTGGGCTGCGATGGAGACCCGGCGCCGCTCACCAGTGGAAATGCCCCCCAAGTTGTAGTTGCCAATCAGTCGGTCTGCCACATGACTCAGACTCAGCTCTGCCATGATGGCCTCCACCTGCAGGAGACACAAATTACAGGAAGGCTGGGCGTGGCTGTGGGTGCTATTTCAATTCACGGGCTGGGGAGGACATGAAAGAGGCAACACCCCCCCGCCCTCAAGAATCCAAGGGCCACTTCCAGACTCACCACACCCTGGAGAAAGCACGTCTTTGATAATAATATGATCCAATTTGACTTAAATCGTAATATAATACATGTGTCAGATTTAAATAAATAATAATGTATTTTTTAAAACGTTCCCAGAGGCTGGGTGCAGTGGCTCATGCCTGTAATCCCAACACTTTGGAAGGCTGAGGAGGGGGAATTGCTTGAGGACAGGAGTTTGAGACCAGCTTGGGGAACAGAGAGAGACCCCGTCTCTACAAAAAAAGAAACAATAAATTAGCCGAGTATGCTAGCACGTGCCTGTAGTCCCAACTACTCGGGATGCTTAGACAGGAGGATGGCTTGATCCCAGGAGGTTGAGACCACAGTTAGCCATGATGGTACCGCTGCACTCCAGCCTAGGCGACAGAGCAAGACCCTGTCTCCAAAATAAAATAAAATAAAATAAAATAGGCCTGGCATGGCGGCTTGTACCTGTAATCCCAGCAGCACTTTGGGAGGTCGAGGTTGGTGGATCACTTGAGGTCAGGAGTTCGAGACTAGCCTAGCCAACATGGTGAAACCCCGTCTGTTCTAAAAATACAGAAATTAGCTGGGTGTGGCGGCGGGCACCAGTAATCTCAGCTACTCGGGAGGCTGAGGCAGAGGAATTGCTTGAACCCAGGAGGCCAAGGTTGCAGTGAGGCAAGATGGCGCCACTGCACTCCAACCTGGGTGACAGAGCAAGACTCCGACTCAAAAAATAATAATAATAAACAAATAAAATAAAATAAGATTCCCTAGAACAAAAACTGCTTACACTTGCTTCAGGAAAATTAGCCAGGAAACAACGGATACTTCATTAAACTCCTATTTGCAGGAGCCACAGTCACTGCAGCCCATACAGAAAAATCCCCCAAAGTCATGATTACAATATCACTTACTTTAAGTGTTTGGGTTTAGAAACTTTATTATAATAAATGCTTTATATGTTTAAAAAAATCCAACCTGATTTGAACTAAACCTGTTTCCCACTGTATAACCCAAATAAGTGCTGGGGTCCCATGTGGTACAATCTCCGTGTGATTTCACATCACAGACATATAATCCAGCCTTCAGAAGCAATTAAAAATAATTCCAATCTTTATTTGAATTTATTTAAGGACTTTAAGGGGAACCCAATTTATAACCCCCAGCCACATCTAAAATCCCCTTTCTTCCAATTCTCTTCACTCTACTTAAACCCTGCAGCTCCCTGAAACCCTTTTTCCTCCTCATTCTCAACGCCCCCAAAACAATAACAACTAAAAAAAATTCTTTACTGACTTTCTAATCAAGAAGCTTGGCTTTTTTCCTCCCTCTCTGTCTTTCCTTCCCCAGCTTATCTCCTCTCCAGAGACCTGTTCACAAATCTGTTTCTGTCCTCCCGTACTGATTACCTCTATCTGCAGAAACCCCAGGGGGAAAGCAGAAAGAGACGGAAGGTACTCATATGGTAATGAGTTTTGTTTCCAGACACCCCTAATAAAGCCGTGTTATGAAAATGGAAACAAAACCATTGCATTAAAAAACAATAAGCTAGATTGCAGAAGAAGAGGGAATGACTTGTGGACCTGCATTCAAGAGGAGTCAGGGAGTGGGGTTGACACCTTACAGGTAGCTTTGACCCACCCAAAGAATGGACGTGTCTGAAATAGGTACAAAGGAATAACGAGAAGGTAAAAAATGCATAAATAAACTAGCATGATATATTCTGGAAAAAAAGAAAGGTCTTCTCTTGCCATCAGGGTAGCAGGATCCTGGAATTAAGCTTTGCTTGACACTGTGAGATTTCTGTGCTCACCAGCCAGGGTAGATTTCTGAGCCTCCTTCTAGAATGTCTCTATAACATCATAAGGAGTAAGCTTGCCCCTCCTGGCTTGGAAGGGATGGACAGAGAAGATATTTACTTAATTTGTCTCGGAGGTTTCACACCCCAGCAGCAATGCTCTCCCATATTTTGGAAACACTGTTGGAAATGGAATTCAGAGTCCTTGTAAGGAATATTGTAAGGACCTTGTAAGGATCATTGGGATGATCAAGTCCAACCCTCCATGCTCTGTGCTTTCACATAATCTGATGTATTCCTCACATCAAACCCAGGAGAAATGCATTCTTACTGTATTTTTATAGAGGAGAAAACAGAGAGAGGTCCATAACTTGCCCAAGATAATGCCACTAGCAAATGGCAGGGCCAGGATTGAGAGGACTGTCTGGGCTCTCTCAAGCGGTCCAGGAAGCCTGAGCCTTAGCCAACAGCCCAGCAGACACAGCCTGCTCACATTGGCCATGCTTTATTTCCAGGTTCTTCCATGGACAGAAGCAGATCTGCCATGCTGTCTCCTTTATTATAATCAGCACTTCCTTTCCACTGAATTACTTGTCAGGATTTTACACGCTGTGGGCTGGATTTGCTCAGAAAAGACTCACAATTGGAGAGAACTCTGCTATCAGGAGTTCTCCTGCTCCCAGGGAGCTGTGCCCCTTGAAGGAGGCATGTTCACCTGTCATTGGTTCCCTGGGTGCTTGTGGGCCTTCCCAGTCTAGAGAGAAATGAAGCAGTTTCCAGGTAAGGTCCCCGGTGGGTTTACTTGTGGCTACTTCCAAACTGGAGACAATTAAGAAAGAGATTGGAACCTAGAAGGAGTTGACAATTCATTCGTTTCTTCCTTCATTAACTCAGTCCAGTTTGGATGAGGCACGTTCAAGATGTCTCCAAGCAAGCTGAGAAAAATCAGTGGCAAAAATAACTATATCTGCTCAAACAGGGAACTTGTAGAACAGCATGGTCCCAGAGAAGGGCAGTGCAAGCCACAGACAGAAGTGAAATATTTTAGTAGCCATATTTTGAAAAGTAAAAAGAAACAGGTGAAATTTTAATAACATATTATTTACAGCCAAAAATACCATTTCAACCTGTAATCAATACTTTTTGAAATTTATTTATTTATTTATTTATTTATTTATTTATTTATTTGGTTGGTAAAGACAGGGTCTCCTTTCGTCCTTCAGGCTGGAGTGCAATGGTGCAATCATAGCTCACTGCAGCCTCGACCTCCTGGGTTCAAGAGATCCTCCTGCCTTAGCCTCCTGAGCAGCTGGGAGTGCAGGCGCACACCACCACGCCCAACTAATTTTTGTATTTTTTGTAGAGACTGAATCTCGCTATGTTGCCCAGGCTGGTCTCAAACTTCTAGACTCAAGAAATCCTCCCGTCTTGGCCTCCCAAAGTGCTGGGATTACAGGTGTGAGCCCACCCTGCCAGACCTAAAAATTCTTAATGGGCTTTTTCACATTCTGTTTTTCTCAGACTCAGAGTCTGAAATCTGATGTGTATTTTGCGCTCAGAGCACGTTTCAGTCTGGACTAGCGACATTTCAAGTCTTCCAAAAGCACATGTGACTAGGGGCTGCCCTCTCAGGCAGCACAGGGTACACGGTGCAAGGCGCAGGGCGCGCTCTAGAGTGAAGGAGTGACGAGCAAAGGGGAGTAATGGGCAAGCGTAGGCGAAGAGAGGAGGGCAGCGGGGGGTGCAAAGGTACTCAGTTTGCCTGCTGTGAGCGGGGGGCTGCACCCACCTTCTGCTGGAAGAAGCCGGGGTTGCCGCGGCGGATGGCCAGCAGCGCGGTGTAGCGCAGCGTCTCGCGCACGGTGAGGCTGCTCAGCAGGGTGTCGCTCTGCAGGAGACTCGGGCGTCAGTGTAGCCCGAGCCCCCGGGGCGGGCGGCTGGCCAGGGGTGTGGGGGACGCGCCCACCTGCAGGACGTAGGAGAAGCAGTCCTGGAACTGCTCCCGGCGCAGCGTCCGGCCGTTCACATACACCTCCCCCAGGAAGGTCCCCGTGCGCCGCAGCCTCCCGGACATGGCGTCCAGCAGCGTGGTTTTCCCGGAGCCTGTGGGGCGACAACAGAAGGCCCTGGGGGAACCCCTCTATGCCGGCCTTGGAGGAGCTTCCCGAGACCCTCTGTGTGGGCATGACCCCGCGTGCCAGGAGTGCTACGTGAGGGATCCTGTTCTAGGTATTAAGGATACAACAGGATACAGGCCCTGCCCTGTAGAACGCGCACTGTGCATGCAGCAGTCTCACGCGCAAATGAGTCTCTGGATTGTCCCCTGAGTGAGAGGGGACATGCCATTTCTTTCATCTGGGTCAAGACCGAAGGTGCTTTCTCTGCTTGTTTGTTTGCCTTTAAAACTGTTTTGGATTGAAAAACAAAATACCTATAGGTATCAGAATAAGAGGAAAGCCCAGACTCTTGGAAACGTTTGGATCCTAGGACGGATTTCTTTTTGTGGCCCCCCTTGGGCGGTCTGGTTGTACCTGGATGTAGGTGACATTATCTAGAGCCTTGCTCACAAAGCAAGGAGCATCAGCAACCCCTGAGAGCTTGCCAGAAATGCAGAGCCCCAGGCCCCACCCGCGACCTGCTGAGTTAGATCTGCTTCAGTCGAGGTTGAGAAGCACTGGCTTGGTAAGTCCTTTGGTAAAACCAAGTTGGCCACAGCCTACGCTAGAGCCTGGGGCACAGCCTAGCTGGATGTCACTAGGAAGGTTCCCACAGAGGGGTTGTGGTGAACTGCCTGCCTGCTGGAGGTGACTGCGGGATAATGCTTGCCTTGGTTTGCTTTTTTCTTTCTTCTTTTTTTTTTTTTTTTGTTTGAGTGAGACTGAGTCTCGCTCTGTCACCTAGACTGGAGTCCAGTGGCACCGTCTCGGCTCACTACAACCTCCACTTCTCAGGTTCAACCCATTCTCCTGCCTCAGCCCCCTGAGTAGCTGGGATTACAGGCATGCACCCCCACGCCCGGCTAATTTTTGTATTTTTAGTAGAGACGAGGTTTCACCATGTTGGCCAGGCTGGTCTCGAACTCCTGACCTCAGGTGATCCTCCTGCCTCAGCCTCCCAAAGTGCTAGGATTACAGGCGTGAGCCACTGCTTTGTTCTAAGGTTAAAGGTTAGGTGATGCCTTTAGACAACAGCCTGATGGCCCCTCAGTCATACTGGACACAAGTTTACCACAGACCCAGAGTTCATGGAGACAGAATAGACCTCCCAGGCCTTTCCTATCCAAGGAGGCTGAGAAGTTGGGATTCATAACAGAGAAATAGGCAGGAAGTTCTGAACTATCTGGGAAGATAGCAAGAGAAATCTGCTGATGAGATGGCTGTGCAGTCAAAGAGATCTTTTGTTGAAATATTATTATTATTATTATTATTATTATTTTGAGACAGAGTCTTGCTCTGTTGCCCAGGCTGGAGTGCAGTGGCACAATCTCAGCTCACGGCAACCTCCGCCTCCCAGGTTCACGTCATTATTCTGCCTCAGCCTCCTGAGTAGCTGGGACTACAGGCGCAAACCACCACGACTGGCTAAGTTTTTTGTATTTTTAGTACAGATGGGGTTTCACTGCATTAGCCAGGATGGTCTCAATCTCCTGACGTGATCTGCCCACCTCGGCCTCCCAAAGTGCTGGGATTACAGGCATGAGCCACTGCACCTGGCCCTTTATTTATTTATTTATTTATTTATTTATTTATTTATTTATTGAGATGGAGTCTCACTCTATCGCCCAGGCTGGAATGCAGTGGCAAGATCCCAGCTCACTGCAACTGCCATCTCCCAGGTTCAAACAATTCTCCTGCCTCAGCCTCCCGAGTAGCTAGGATTACAGGCATCTGCCACCACACCTGGCTAATTTTTGTATTTTTGTAGAGACAGGGTTTCACCACGTTGGTCAGGCTGGTCTTGAACTCCTGACCTCAGGTGATCCGCCTGCCTCGGCCTCCCAAAGTGCCGGGATTACAGGTATGAGCAACTGCACCTGGCCCTTGTTGAAATATTTTGAAGAAACTTGCTTGTTGCTGTGAGAGGTACAAAGATGAATCAACTCCCTTAGCAGCTGTCTTCTTTTCTAATGCATAACTGACAAAACTCAGAATTAGCCCCAGCGTGTTCAGGGGGTGGTCAGAGTGGGGAAAGAGAGGAAAACCCATGACAAAGAAACAAAATGTGACTTCATTGGGATTGTCTTTCTTTTTTTTTTTTTTTTTTTTTTTTTTTGAGACGGAGTCCTGCTTTGTCGCCCAGGCTGGAGTGCAGTGGCCGGATCTCAGCTCACTGCAAGCCGCCTCCCGGGTTTGCGCCATTCTCCTGCCTCAGCCTCCTGAGTAGCTGGGACTACAGGCGCCCGCCACCTCGCCCGGCTAGTTTTTTGTATTTTTAGTAGAGACGGGGTTTCACCATGTTAGCCAGGATGGTCTCGATCTCCTGACCTCGTGATCCGCCCGTCTCGGCCTCCCAAAGTGTTGGGATTACAGGCTTGAGCCACCGCGCCCGGCCGGGATTGTCTTTCAAAATGTGCCCTGTAATTTCCCAGTCGTGCGGTTCTTCTAACCAGAGCCACCCTGGCTTTACATTTTTCGATCCAATCTGAACTCTGACAGAAGCTGCAGATGTCCTGCAGCCTGAGTCCCACCCCACCACGTCATCAAAACTGGCCTCCCCAGGGATATAAAATCCACTTTACTGTTGCCACATCCAGCGTATACTTCTCTGGGAGGGATCCCAAGACAGAACTACCCAACCAAGCCACTTCCAGAGTTCTGATTCATAGACATTCTGAGAGATCATGAATGGTGTTGTTTTAAGCCACTAAACTGTGGGATACTTTTTTTTTTTAACAATAGATAATGAATTTAGTTTTTTAAAAAACATGTCAAATATGTATTAACTCATTAATTAGAGAACCAGCAAGATGACAAAGCTCATTCAAAAGAGGATATGAGAAGCTGGGCATGGTGGCTCATGCCTGTAATCCCAGCAATTTGGGAGGCTGAGGCAGGCAGCCTGAGGTCAGGAGTTCACGACCAGCCTGGCCAACATGGTGAAAACCGGTCTGGACTAAAAATACAAAAATTAACTGAGTGTGGCGGCGGGCGCCTGTAATCCCAGCTACTCAGGAGATGAAGCAGGAGAATTGCTTGAACCTGGGAGGTGGAGGTCGCAGTGAGCCGAGATCGCACCACGGCACTCCTGGGTGACAGGGTGAGTGAGATTCCATCTCAAAAAGAAAAGAATATGAGAAATTGATATGTATAGACAGTGGGGAAAAGAAGGTTGGAATAAGATAACAAAGTTAGATACAAAAATGGTTAATGCCCTAAAGGGCAATAAAACTATGACATTTGTAGTTTTCTTTTCTAACAGGACGGAAATCATTTGCAACTAAATAATCTGCAAAGAAGCATCCAATCCAGAGTCTACGCCCTCCTCAACAGCAAACAACAATTCAAATGAGTTTCAGTTGGAGTTCCCCTGGAGTCAGATGGCTCTAGGCAGGCTTGCTTTGGACTACGCTCTAGTGAGACTTTGAACATATATGTCATCATCTTTTGCCTCGCTAATAAAGATTTGATAGATAACACTGCTAGAGATAAGACACCAATGGGATTGTCATTTTATGCAATACTATGGAGTAATTCATAAAATTATTTTACTCCTTTATTCAACAAATATTTATTAAGCACCCACTGTGTGACCAACCCTGTTCTAGGTGATAAGGATACAGCAGAATACAGTCCCTGCCCTTGTAGAACTTGCAGCCCACTGTGGATTCATTTCAGTATAAAGGGTAGGCATTGTCCGAAAGCCATGATTAGGCATCTCATCAGAAACCAGCCCACACCCCCACCCCAATCAAGAGCCCCTCCCGCTGTCCTGCTGTATGTGCGTGAAACACAACATTGGCCTTTGGAGTGCACTTCTGAGATGGGGGGTTCCATCTCTTGTTGTTCTTAGAAGTGGGACACACTTCTGAGAAGGGTGCTAAATGTCACCCTGTTTAATTCTTTATAAGGATGACAACAGGTGACAGTTTGTTAAAGGAGAAGAGGCAGGTTTTTTTTCTTTTTAAAGAAGCGCACTGTATTTATCAAAAGGAAGCTGAGAATGACCCTGCATGTTACAGTACATGTGTACAGCTAGATATTGGTTAAAAATGGAAATGAGAACTGACAGAAAGTCTTTGAAAAGTGTAACAGCTTTAGTCAGTGCTATGGTCTGACTGTTTATGTCTCCCTAAAATTCATATGTTGAAATCTTACGCAAGATGATGGTATTAGGAGGTGGGGCATTGGCCGGGCACGGCGGCTCAAGCCTGTAATCCCAGCACTTTGGGAGGCCGAGACGGGCGGATCACGAGGTCAGGAGATCGAGACTATCCTGGCTAACCCGGTGAAACCCCGTCTCTACTAAAAAATACAAAAAACTAGCCGGGCGAGGTGGCGGGCGCCTGTAGTCCCAGCTACTCGGGAGGCTGAGGCAGGAGAATGGCGTGAACCCGGGAGGCGGAGCTTGCAGTGAGCTGAGATCCGGCCACTGCACTCCAGCCTGGGCGGCAGAGCGAGACTCCGTCTCAAAAAAAAAAAAAAAAAAAAAAGGAGGTGGGGCATGCAAGGAGGTGATATTGGGAGATGATTAGGTTATGGAGAGCTCTTACAATTGGGATGAATGCCTCAGAGACCCCTCCCCACTTCTGCCACGCAAGGTTAGGGTGAGAAAATGGCTGTCTAGCCAACAGACACATGAAAAAATGCTCATCATCACTGGCCATCAGAGAAATGCAAATCAAAACCACAATGAGATACCATCTCACACCAGTTAGAATGGCGATCATTAAAAAGTCAGGAAACAACAGGTGCTGGAGAGGATGTGGAGAAATAGGAACGCTTTTACACTGTTGGTGGGATTGTAAACTAGTTCAACCATTATGGAAAACAGTATGGCGATTCCTCAAGGATCTAGAACTAGATGTACCATATGACCCAGCCATCCCGTTACTGGGTATATACCCAAAGGATTATAAATTATGCTGCTATAAAGACACATGCACACGTATGTTTATTGCAGCACTATTCACAATAGCAAAGACTTGGAATCAACCCAAATGTCCATCAGTGACAGATTGGATTAAGAAAATGTGGCACATATACACCATGGAATACTATGCAGCCATAAAAAAGGATGAGTTTGTGTCCTTTGTAGGGACATGGATGCAGCTTGGAAACCATCATTCTTAGCAAACTATCACAAGAACAGAAAACCAAACACCGCATGTTCTCACTCATAGGTGGGAACTGAACAATGAGATCACTTGGACTCGGGAAGGGGAATATCACACACCGGGGCCTATCGTGGGGAGGGGGGAGGGGGGAGGGATTGCATTGGGAGTTATACCTGATGTAAATGACGAGTTGATGGGTGCAGCACACCAACATGGCACAAGTATACATATGTAACAAACCTGCACGTTATGCACATGTACCCTACAACTTAAAGTATAATAATAATAAATAAATTTTTAAAAAATTAAAAAAAAAGATTTCAAATTGTTAGGAGAATATAAGAAAGAGAATGCCATCAGTGGTAAAATTTTAAGGTACATGATATTTTAAAGAGTTAATAAAGAAAGAGTTAAGTAGAAGAAATAGTCATAGAAAAATGAAACAACTTAAATGGTTCTTAAAGGTTTAAGAGAGAATCATTGGTAAACCATCACAAATGCTTTGGCTTTCTCAATGACGCCATAGGGAGATGATAATCATAGTGAAATACTAACACACAGGTGACCTTCATGAGATTCTTCTTCAGCAGATATGAACATACACTAAAGTTAGATCCATTTTGGTTATTTGATGGAATGGATATTTCACCTAACGAAGCTGGAATATTTCTATTTGTGTTCCATATTTTAGAGTTTTCTTGAAGAAAAACAATGGTCATAAATGTTAAAATTCCCTTAGAATTGGCACCTGAAAACAAAATGTAGTTTTTTAAGACTGGTGTCAAATTAATTTTGCCAGATTTGTTCTGCACAGTAAGAGCTGCACTGTTACAATATTTCAAGTTAAAAATTACTCTCAAAGTTTACTCAAGTTCAATTTTAATATATTTACAGTATTTGAAATATTTAGTTTCATTTATACTTTAATATTGGAATTAAATTAAAATTTTGAAGTTCATATTAATTATTTAAATAAGAAAAATACTGGACACATTCATTTAAAAAATATTTTAATTTACCACTAACTTGTTATTCATTATTAGCTCTATGTCTCCATTATTAAGATACAAGTCAGAATACTGTGAAATCAACTTGACAAATTTGGAAAATGTTTAGGCTGAAAGGCTGAAATTGTCTAGGTCATAGCTCTTCATATGAGATTAAAACATCTTATAAGTATCAGGAAATTCTGCTATTTAACAGACATGCAATTGAAGATTAAATGTACCTTTAAGGTACATTCACTCTGAAAACTGGTCTGGCAGTTTCTTATAAAGTTACACATTTACTATAAAATCCAGTAATTCTACTCTTAGGTATTTACTGATGATAAATGAAGCTTATAATAAAAGAAATCTTTACACACACACACACAAAAAAAAAAAAAAAAAAGAAAATGGCTGTCTAGGAGGAAGTCTTCCTCACCAGACACCGAATCTGTTGACCCCTTGATCTTAGACTTTCCAGCCCCTAGAACTGTGAGAAAAAAATTTATGCTTTTTATAAGCCACCCAGTCTATGGTATTTTGTTTTAGCAGCCTGAATGGACTGAGACAGTCTGGGAATTCCTCTTTTTTTTTTTTTTTTTTTTGAGACAGGGTCTTGCTCTGTTGCCCAGGCAACAGAGTGCAGTGGCACTATCTCAGCTCACTGCAGTCTTAACCTCCTGGGCTCAAGCAATTCTCCCACCTCAGCCTCCCGAGTAGCTGGGACCACAGACATGCACCACCATGCCCGGCTAACTTTTGTATTTTTTTGTAGAGATGGGGTCCCACTATGTTGCTTAGGTTGGTCTCAAACTACTGGGCTCAAGCGATCCTCCCACCTCAGCCTCCCAAGCTGCTGGGATTACAGTCGTGAGCCACTGTGCCCAGCCTATTCTCTATTCTTGATTGTATGTCCAAAATATACCATCATAAAACAGGACCAGTGGAATCAAAGATAGGGGCTTAATGGGCATTTTTGTGCTTATTTAATCCTTTTCCTTCTCCAGATAGGGGAAATTGTGTTTTCTGAGTACTTTTATATGCTGTGGAACTGTGGGGCCTTTTTATATTTTGAAATATGAATTCACGTATATGTTAGGCAGGATTTTATCCTCTTTCAAGGATCTTTCTAAAGATTTCACGTTGGTAGCAGGTTCCATTCACAGTCAGACATCATTAGATTTCATTCTAATATCAAACCTGTGGCTTTCTTGCTACAACTTAATCTGTTTCTTCAATGTGGAGTTTAACTCAAGCCAAAGCCTTTTTAGAATCCTCCTTCCCCAGCTTACCTGAGCTTCCCAGGATGCACATAATCTGCCCGCTCTCCACGTACAGGGAGACATCTTTGAGGATCTGCCTGGTCCACTGCTGCCGGCAAGATGCGACGTCCCACCAGGGCCTCACGCGGCGGCTTTAAAGGAAACCCCAGGAAGGCAAAGGCAGCTTGGGGCCCTGGAAGGGACTACACCCGGGTCCCCAGCATTGATCGCACCTATGCCCCACCCCAGTTGTCTCCGGACAGGCTCCTAACGTGTTTCAGCCTCAGCGCCCTCCTCTGTAGAACCTGGCAGATAGTGACTGAGGCTGTCTGTCACATAGGGAGGGGGCCTGTGCTGGAGTTGCTCTGAATGTCCTGTCTGTTTGGCTGGGAGGTGGCTGTCCCTGCATTCCTTCACCAGGTTTCAAGATTCCTTGCATTCCCAGTACCCCCGTTCCCATCCACAGAGGGCAGGCCGTAGACACTGGGGTAGGCAGGGCACTGCTGCCACTTTGTTTATGCCCAGGCCCTTCCCTGGGCAGGGGGAGGGGCCATTCACTGTCGCTCCACGTTTCCCAGCACAGCCCTTCTCCCTCTCCTCTCTCCACCCGATCCACTAAAGAGGGAACCCAAAGTCCCCAGGCAGACACCTAAAGCGTGAAGAAAGGCAGCAGAGGGTTGAGTGCAGAGCCCGTACTCCTGGGGGAGCAGCAGCAGCAAGGGCTCTGCCTTACCTGACACTGTAGGAGGCATGGAGGATGCCCAGGCTGTGAGGCTCCAGGGCAGTGGCAGGAGCCCCCTCCAGGGAGCTCTGGGAGCCCCTGTTTACTTGGAGACCCGTGGACCCTCCGGGGCTCAAAAATGAGAGGTCACCCATGGCCAACAGGCAGCAAAGCTGAGCAAATTTTCTGGTGGCCTGACCCTCCCCAGAGTGGCTTCAGTTGGGGAGCCTGGGGCAGACTGCCCTGCCTGCTCCACCTGACCCCGGAATCCCTCGGGATGGCAGGACTGGGACTTGGCCACGGGGACCATTATCTGATGTACCTTTAGCCAGCGCGTCCTTATCTTGACAGTGGGCAGAACACACACATGTTTGTAGGTGGGCTTGCCAGAGAGGAATGCTGGGAGAGACGGGCCCAGGGCAGGAGGCTCCAGGAAACAGAGTGAAGACACTGGCCCTGGCAGGCAGCAGCTGGGTCTAAGAGAGCTGCAGCGCAGGGGCACAGACCTGTGGGCCCCATGGCTGGGAAGGTGGCAGAGGAGAGAGGGCTGCCGAAAGGGACCGCTGCCCAGGATGCCTCGGTGAGTGAGCGATGGGGAGTCAGCCCAGGCCCGGCGGGCGGGCAGGAGAAATCCAACCTTTCTCTCTTCCCTCAGGAGCCTTCTGTCTTAGCACCACCCGGACAGCAAGCAGTGTGAGGACATGGCAAAGGGCTGAGGGGAACAGATTCAGGGTCCCAGAGGCCTCTGAGGTCACTTTCTGCCCTAAGAAACACTCCTTTAGGGAAATCATGTTCTTATGTGTGATGTGGGACAATTTCACTTTTTCTTTTTTCTTTTTTTTTTTTGAGACAGAGTCTTGCTCTGTTGCCCAGGCTGGAGAGCAGTGGCGCTATCTCGGCTCACTGCAAGCTCTGCCTCCTGGGTTCAAGTGATTCTCCTGCCTCAGCCTGCCAAGTAGCTGGGATTACAGGCACCTGCCACCACACCTGGCAAATTTTGTATTTTTTAGTAGAGACAGGGTTTCACCATGTTGGTCAGGCTCAAACTCCTGATCTCAGGTTACCCACCCTCAGCAGCCTCCCAAAGTGCTGGGATTACAGGCATGAGCCGCTTACCTGGCCAGTTTTGCTTTTTCCCAATGAGACTCCATCATAGAAATGTGCCCACACATGCCGGGGACTCCACTGGTGTCTCCTCTGCCCATGTGGCTGTCAGGTTGGTCTCAGTAGTAAGTGATGGGTGAGACAGGGTGACAGGCAGCTTTTGTGGGAACATCAGCATGTGTGGCTCTAGCAGGCAATCGTAAAGTCTGGGAGAAAGCTGGAAGGAGTAGAAGCAGCCAGGCGGCAGGAGGTGGAGGTACGTTTCCCTCCTCATTTTACCTGAGAAGTGTTTACTCAAGAAATAGCCTTTGACTGAAATTGGAGTGTGGCAGGATTTGAAGCAGGAGGCTAAACTGGAAGACAGGCAAGAAGCAGATCCCCGCTCCCACCGCCTCACCCCATCCCACCTTTCCATCTTTGCCTGTCGTGGGTAGGAGGGAGGAGAGAAAGATAAGCATGACTGAGGACTCCGCACCCAATGGGGAAAACCATCTGGACTGGCCTTGAGTTTCCAGGACTTGACTCGGCCAGACCCAAGGAGCCCACCATTTCTAGTCGGTTCTGCAACCACCACACCTGACCAGCTCTGCTCTCTGAATACCCTGTGGGGCCCACCACTTTGGGGAATGGTTAAAGCCTGAATAGAATAGAAAGCTAGCAGGGCTTTGGGAACACTTTCTGCCTGGGAGGGCTGACGATTCAGCCACCACAGCTTGAGAGGCAAAGAAATGCTAGGACCGCACCAGAAATGCACTCCAGCCCTGCCATTTCTGCTTCCCTTCTGTCCAATCCTGTCACTCCAGGTGCTGAGCGAGGGTCTGCCCCTAACACGTGTGGGGCTTGGAACAAGAGAATGAGGGTCACATTTCCTATGTCTAGATATATAAAAGTCATCAGTCAAGCTATAAGAACAGTCAAAGATACCCACACTCCTCAGCCTCCCAAAGTGCTGGGATTACAGGTATGAGTCAGCGCTCCTGGCCAGTTTTGCTTTTTCCCAATGAGACTCCATCATAGAAACGTGCCCACCCATGCTGGGGACTCCACTGGTGTCTCCTCCGCCCATGTGGCTGTCGGGTTGGTCTCAGTAGTGAAGTGATGGGTGAGACAGGGTGACAGATGGCTTTTGTGGGAACATCAGCGTGTGTTCTCTAGTTTCTATCCTCTTGTCTCGACATATCTTCCTCACAACCTGAAAGGTCAGGTGTAAACTGAGAAATTCTAAGGCATCTTGGGTAGAATGCACTGGTACGGGGGAACCACTTCTAGCCCAAGCCACAACCTGTCCCCCTTTCTGCCCCCCCTCAGCTCCATCCCACTCCATGGGGCCCTCAACACCCTGGGTGGTCACCCTCCTGCCTACCTGCATTGCAGCCCTGCCCTGCACAGACATATATACCTCTCTGGCCTAAAGGTCCTCAGGAGGTTGGGCCAGGGAGGAAGGAAGTGCACAGACCCTGGGGATGGACTTGGGGCCATTTGCGCAGAGAATTCTGGCAGCTTAGGCACCTGGAGTGGTAAGTGCCCTTAACCCACGCACTCTTCATGCCATGGGCAGGAGAAGCAACAGAGAAGGACAAGAGAGACCCTGCAGCAGGCAGAGCTGTGTGTGACCTAGGCTGAATGTTTCGATAAAATTCCTTCAGCCAAAAACAAGTCCTGCGTGTCCCCTCGCCAACCCTCCAGCCGCGAGCGTCAGTACATCACTCCCCGCGAGGCACAGGCTCCTCATGTCAGAACTAGAAACATGTACGCTGTGAGTTTCCTTCTTGCCTAGGCATCTGACTCAGGAATTCTATCAGAAGTTAATACGGGGAGAAATTACAATGTAGCCCAGCAGGAGCAGAGCTGGTTACCTACAAATAAACCTGCTTTTGCTTTTTTGGGTGTCGCCTGTCGGAAATTCAAGTGATGTTCTGACAGGTGTACTGATTAAGATGTCAGCCGAATAGATATTTAAGTATTTGAAAAATACAGAGAGTTTGTCAAAACCTCAGGAAGAGTCTAACAAATCCTTCCTGGGAGCCAAGGAAAATATTTTAAAATGGAACAGAGGTCGTCCCCAACCCAGGCACTAATTTTCTTCCTCCGAAAGACGAGCTGCCTATGCCTCCTGGAAGGCACAATCCCTCAGTGGTGGTTGGAGTCCGGGCTGGCCCATACCTGCCTTCCCAGCCCACAGTGAAGGGGCTTGGGGCGAGCCTTGGAACAAGGAACCAGGCACCTTTCCCCTTCCTCTTATCCAGTGTCTGCTCTGCCTCGTCTTTCTGTCAGCTCCCTCCCCTTCTCAAAGTACCGCACAGCGGAACCCAGTTGGGCTGCAGGTCACCTCCACGCATCGCTCCAGACTCCAAATGTCTGACCTTCCTTCCTCAGCCCCTCCTCCATGCCTAAATCCGACCTGGGGGTGTTTGGGCCAGCAGAAGTAATTTCTCAGCTCATTTACATTGTCTAATATCCCTCCTGCAGATATTTGTTTTAAAAACAACAGCAAGATGCATGTTAACCCACATGAGTCTCTTAGCAATGGATAAGATTTTTGCTTTTGTTTTGTTTTGTTTTTGACAAAGTCTCACGCTGTGGCCCAGGCTGGAGTGCAGAGGCATGATCTCAGCTCCCTGCACCTCCACCTGCCCAGTTCAAGCGATTCTCCTGCCTCAGCCCCTCGAGTAGGGTAGCTGGGACTATAGGGGTGCTTCACCATGCCTGGCTAATTTTTTTTTTTTATTTTTAGCAGACACAGGGTTTCACTGTGTTGGCCAGGCTGGTCTTGAACTCCTGGCCTCAGGTGATCTGCCCGCCTCAGCCTCCCCAAGCGCTGGGATTACAGGCATGAGCCACCGCACACAGCTGGCAATGGCTAAGATTTTTTGATGATTCAACAACAAACAAAAATGGGACAACGAAGCAATGTGTACGGTGACGGTGCAGAGGGCGAGTGAGGGGCAAGACCAAAGCGCTGATCTGCCAGGAGTCCAGCATCAGTCTGAGCTGTTTTCAATCTCCCCAGGAGCTTGGGTCACAGACCTTCTTACCTCCTCTCCCCCAACCTCCCTCCTGCTTTGGGGCTTTGGCAGCTGGGGTTGAGGTGGGAACGGAACTCTGGAGTTCTACTCACTGGCTTGCTCTCTCAATTTGACAACATATTGTGAAATATTATACACAAATCAGCTTAAAGAACCCTCATGTACACGCCACCAATTACCAAAAGCTTTGAAGCCTGATCCTGCACTCCTACTGTGTCCCCTTTCTCTTTTCATCTCTTCCTGCTCCCCAGAGATAACCCCTCTCCTGTTTCTCTTTCCATTTTTTTCTGTATAATTTTGGGTCTTTATGGTGATAATTCAAACATTAAGCAATGGAAGTCACTTTGGTCTGCTGCTTTTCACGCTGTCCCAGAACTCTGGGGGTTCCCCACAGCACGCCTGCCGCATACTGTCACCGAATTTCTTTCCCTCCGCCTCCACTGACCTGGAATGTTCTTTCCAAGGACTTCTGGCCCCCATCGTTGCAGGGGTACTTTGACAAGAACCCTGCCGTATGGCATTTGTTATTTTCACGTAAAGCATACTCTTGTTATTTTCACCTACAGCATGTGTGTGCGTTGCGTACACAGTGAAAATAAACCCACCAGCCTCCCTCTCTGTCCGATCTGTCTCGCTCCATCCTAATCACCTGTCTCACCTGCCAAAATCTAAGCTTTTCAACAGCCTTTTCATTGTCACATCCCAAATTCCAAGCCCGAAGGGTGTTCTGGACTCTCCATAAGTGTTTGCTGGATGCGTGGTTGATTGAAGGAATGTATAGTGTGAGAATGGTGGCTTGAGGAGGAAAGTCTGTGGGAACTTGTTAATGAAAATGTACTTGTTCCTGCCTGACAGAAATGTAAGAAAAATTGAATGCAGTAAAAAATGGGCGTCAGGCGAGGTGGTTCACGCCTGTAATCACAGCACTTTGGGAGGCTGAGGTGGGTGGATCACTTGAGCCCAGGAGTTTGCGACCAACATGGCGAAACCCTGTCTCTACGAAAAATACAAAAATTAGCTGGGTGTGGTGGCGCACGCCGGTAGTCCCAGCTGCTTAGGAGGCTGAGGTGGGAGGATTGCTTGAGCCTGAGAGGTCGAGGATGCAGTGAGCTCTGATCGTTTCACTGCACTCCATCCTGGGTGATACAGCAAGACCCAATCCAAAGAAAAAGAAATGGTGGGGGACTTCCTAGTTGCTTCTTTGTTTGGGCCTCAATGATTTAAATGATAGAATTGTCAGAATAGGAGGAATTCAAGTCTGCAGATGGTTAGTACCTTTCAAAGGTATCAGCTGACACCATGAAATGCTGATTTTTTAATGTACATTCAAATATACCACCACTTCAACAATAACAACAACATGATGATGACGATGA